TTTTTCTGGTCCTTTAGTCAGAGGGAGCAAGCTTTTTTCCCTTTGTATGTGTGTATTTACACACATGCTCTTGGCAGATGTGTGGCAGGCCTATCTGGTGCCCAGTCTGGGATATATGGAAGATAAAAAGAAAACGCTGGGGAACGCACCCAGTGTCATCCCTCAAGTCCTGAGGTTCCTAGCTAATCCACTGCCTTCTTCCTAGCTTTCAGAGTCCTTTTATGGCTGTCAGTTGAATCATTTCCAGGATATTTAGTTGTCCCTGGAAGGAAAGATCAGGGAAAAGTGAGTCTACACCCTCTTGCCTGGTACATGCATTAAAAAATTGTGGCACAATAATCATAGCATAAAACTCACTGTTAGTGGCAAATAGTACGTTCACAGTGTTGCATAATCACAGTCATTATCTTGTTCCCATTTTTGTCACTCCCATAAGTAAGCCTGTACGCAGCAAGCAGTCACTTCCCATTCTCTTCTTTCCCCGGTCCCTGGCAACCTCTTTCTATCTGCCTTAATTTGCTTTGAGTCTCTTGAGATTTGATTATTTTAGATATTTCATAGAAATGGAATCATCCAATATGTGGCCTTTTTGTCTGACTTCTTTCACTTTGCATGATATTTTCAGTTTGTCCTTAACAAATATCAGCCAGTGATTCTTTTTTTGTGGCTGAATAACATTTCATTTCATGGATATCCATCCACCAGTTCACGAACATTTAAGTTGTTTTCACCTTTGACTTTTGTGAATGTGCTACTGTAAACCTTTTTTTTTTTTTTACAAGTTTTTATTGGAACATCCATTTTCAACTCTTTTGAGTATGTAGCTAGGAGTGGAATTGCTGGATCATTTGGTGATTCTGTTTGACTTCTTATACTACCACGTTGTTTTTACAGACACTACACCATTTTATATCCTTATTAACACTGTTTGAGGGTGTCAATTTTCTATATCCTTCTTTGCCAACACTTGTTCTTTTCTTTTTTTGAAAAATTTTTCAACTTTTTGTTTTAAAAGTGATCTCTATGCCCAATGTGGGCCTCAAACTCATGACCCTGAGATCAAGAGTCACATGCTCTGCCGACTGAGCCAGCAGGTGCTCCTTGTTATTTTCCATTTAAAAAATAATAATGAGTATAAAATAATGTCTCATTGTGGATTTGATTTGTATCTTCCTAAGGGTTAATGATGTTGAGCATATTTTTGTGTGCTTGTTAAATTTTTGTATATCTTCTTTGGAAAAATATCGTATTAAAGTCTTGTTTGCCCATTTTAAAATTTGATTTCTTCCCTTTTTGTTGTAGAGTTTTGAGAGATTTTTAAGGGCATCTGGGTGGCTCAGTTAGCAACCAACTGTTAATCTCTGTTTAGATCTTGATCTCAGGTTGTGGGTTCAAACTTGACAATGGGCTCCACACTGGGCATGGAGCTTACTTAAAAAAAAATATATATATATATATATAATAAAATAAATAAAATCTTTAAAATAAAATCTTTTAAAAAAAGATCTCCCTGTCAATTCTTTCTTTCTTCCTTCCTCTTTCTTTCTTTCTTTTTCTTTCCTTTCTACTTTTTTTTAAAGATTTTATTTATTTATTCATGAGAGACACACAGAGAGAGAGGCAGAGACATAGGCAGAGGGAGAAGCAGGCTCCCCTTGAGGAGCCTAGTGCGGGACTCGATCCCTTGACTCTGGGATCACCACCTGAGCCAAAGGCAGATGCTCAACCACTGAACCACCCAGGTGTCCCCAAAAGTTCTTTATATGTTCTGGATATGGGACTTATCAGATATATGACTTACGAATATTTTCTCCCATTCTGTAGGCTGTCTTTTCACCTCTTTTTTTTTTTGAGATTTTATTTATTTATTCATTAGACACACACACACACAGAGAGAGAGAGAGAGAGAGAGAGGCAGAGACACAGGCAGAGGGAGAAGCAAGCTCCATGCCAGGAGCCCAATGTGGGACTTGATCCTGGGACTCCAGGATCACGCCCTGAGCTGAAGGCAGATGCTCAACCACTGAGCCACCCAGGCATCCCTCTTTTCACCTCTTGACAGTGTCTTTTGGTGCACAAGTTTTAAATTTTGATGATGCCTAACTTATTTTTTCTTTTTGAAGCTTGTGCTTTTGATGCCATATCTTAGAAACTGTGGTCAAATCTAAGGTTGTGAAGATTCACCCCTATGTTTTTGTGTAAGAATTTTATAATTTCGGCTTTTAGGTTTAGGTCTTCAATCTTTTTTGAGTTAATTTTTGTATATAGTGTGAGGTAGGGATCCAATGTCATTTTTTTTGCATGTTGAAACAATTTGTTGAAGAGACTATTCTACCTCCATTGAATGGAATTGGCATCCTGGTAAGAAATTAATTGACCATGGGTACACATAGGTTTATTTCTGGACTCCCAGTTCTATTCTATTTGCCTGTATGTCTATCCTTATGTCAGTGCCACACTGTTGAATGCAATTTTAAAGGAAGATATTTGCAGCTCAATTTGGAAAATGGTTTGTTGGGAGCAGTCCCTAAACACAGGTGTCTTAGGCAATGAGATCTGCGCTAGGGTCTGGCAGTGATGATGGAGATATGGGGAGATATTTGGGAGCTTTTCTGGAGGCATCGGTGGCAAAACTCAGCCCAAATTGGATGGAGCAAGTGAGAAAGAGAGTAAAGGATGATATCATCTAGCTTACATAGTAGTGCCAGTAAGTAGAAATGGAAGAGAATAGGAAGGTCTGACTTAGGGGAAAGATAGCAAGTTCTGTTTTGGATTCTCTAGGTATAAAGTGTTCCAATGTCGGATGTGTGTTTGTCAGGGTAGTGTGATCACATGCTTACAAGTACTTAACATATTCTGGGCCAATAAATGTGTTGTCAACGAGGAACTGGAAGATCCACTGATAATTACACCTCCCAAGAGCTCCCACAACCCCTGCTCAAGGCCTGGAAGGGCTCACTGAGGAGAGGGGATGGAAGTCAGTCAGCGGTTCTCTCAGTCTTAGGATTAACTTGCTGTTTTATGGCTGTCCTCCGCCCTCCCTACTTGGGACTCCAGGGCCTGGGAAGCAAAGGCCAATAGGTAGCTGGTAACTATTGAGTCAGTAATGAGCCCTGTTGGCTCCCCTGTGTCCCATCCAAGCCCTCCGACAACCACCACTCTTCCCAATGCAGAATGTCCCTTTGATGGAGGATAAGATATGGGCTGTCCTAGTCACTGGCAGGCAGCTCGGAAGCCTTGCTTGTCTGTTGCAGGATGAAAGAAGACATGAGGGAACAGGAGAAAATTGGGAGAAATCTGTTTTTTCTCAGGGAAGAGGGAGGGTCAGCCAGGGTTGAGACCTGTAGCTTTCTGCCCAGTGACCTGATATTGTGTATCTGCTATGTCAGAGGGGTAGAGATTGTTCTCTTCCACAGCCCAAACCACGTGGACCTTCCAAAATCCTACATGAAGCCTCAGAGGCTGCATCCAAGGCATATTTTTCCAGGTTGAAAATGCCTCTCTTTGATAACTATGGGGCGTGTGTATATGCCTGCATGCACACACACACACACACACACACACACAAGCATGCACACAAGTGGGAGGGTCATGAAGGAAAGATCTAGGGGTTTTTTGGAGTCTGAAGACTTTTTTAGGCTCTTCTTTAAATAAAAGAAGACAGAATTATGAATACAAAATTATGGTATCCTTGGAAAGGGATTGTGTAGGCAAGGAGTCCCAGAGTTTTAAATTTCACTAGCTTCCAGGTCAAGTCACCTCTGGTGCTGATGGTAAGTGGACATTCCCTGCTTCTGAGGCAGGATGCAAAGCTGTACATGATCTGTTTGCTTGGAATGAGGGCAGTTCCCACTGGGCTCTGAGCACCTTATTCCTTTCTGCCTGCAGCGCCTGGCAAGGAGTAACAGAAGAGTGGCTATCATTTAGAGAGGGCCTTGAGTAGGCCATATTTTTAGTGCTAAGCACTGAAGCCACAACCACTGTGGGTGGCAGGTTTTATTTATTTATTTATTTATTTATTTATTTATTTATTTATTTATTTATGATAGTCACAGAGAGAGAGAGAGAGAGAGAGAGAGAGAGAGAGAGAGAGGCAGAGACATAGGCAGAGGGAGAAGCAGGCTCCATGCACCGGGAGCCCGATGTGGGATTCGATCCCGGGTCTCCAGGATCGCGCCCTGGGCCAAAGGCAGGTGCCAAACCGCTGCGCCACTCAGGGATCCCTGTGGGTGGCAGGTTTTATGCTTCCCATGTTAGAGATGAGCCAGAGGAGGGCCAGAGGGGAAAAGGTCTCCCCCAAGCTCACTCAGACTAGTAAGAAGTTGAACTGGGATGGAATCCAGAGCCATATGACTCCAAATCTATGGTCTTTCCAAAGCTGAGCTATAAAGATGTACAGCAAAGTTTGTGGAATGGGTAAATGATTTAGTGAATGAGTTAGTGTATTAATGAATAATAAATAAGTGATGCAATGAAATAAATGAGTGAAGAAGAAATAACTAGCAGGGAAGGAGTCTGGAGAAGGGTATGCCCAACTTCTGGAAGGCCCAGACCTAACCCAGAGCCTGGTTCTTTGGAGAAACACTAAAGAGTTGAGGGGTGGTGGCATGGAGTGGGGAAGGGAGTTTGGACAGGCTAGACAGGTGAGAGGAGTGTTAAGGCCAGACACAGAAGGTCCTCTTAGGTCCTGCTAAGGATTGGGGATACTGTCCTGAAGACAGTGGAAAGCCTTGGAGGAGGAGTTCAGGTGGATGAGTAGCATAAAGAGATGGTCTTGGCTTCCCTGAGGGCCAGTAGGGTGGATGACATTCCTTTCTTTGACCTTCAATTCCTTAAGTATATAATGCAACAATAATATCTAACTTCAGGACTGTGTGTGTGTGTGTGTGTGTGTGTCAGGCAATATGGTTAGCAGATGTGCATGTCTGGCCTATGGACTTTGCTCAGGAAGCATTAAAAAAACACATGTTACCTGACTTGGTCTTCTGTGTCTCCTCCAGAGGCCCACTCCTGCTTAAGAACACCATGAATGCAGGTAAGCTGTCCCAGTGATTCCCACAGGGAGAGGAGCCCAAGTGTGAAAGATGGGTAGGGTTGTGGGGGGGAGGGGGCAGCTGGGGGGCTCACTCAGCAGTCAGATTGCTGTGGTGAGACAGGCTCTGGTTTTGAGTACTGCTCCAGGGTCTCCTCTATGTAGCCTGCCTCATCCAGAAGAGGCAAATTGTCCAGGGCAGTGGGTAGTTCTAGAAATTTAGACTGGAAGTAGGGCAACCCCTAAGGAGTGTCCTCCTTCCCCTTTTCTACCTTTGTCTAGTATTTACAGGCTTCCCACTGGGTGCTGGAGGTTGGGGATGTCCCAGGGACTAAGATACGCATAGTTCTTGCCACCTCTTCCAGCGGCTAGGCCACTAAATGGGTCACTGGAGTAAAGTAGGATGAATATTTTGCTGGGAGGAGTGGGCTTGGCAAAGGACAGTGGGAGGAGGTTCCAAGCCAAGGGAATCGCATTGTTGAAGAGTTGAGAGGAAGCATGGTGTGGTCAGAGAAACCCAGGGGATATGGCTGGCCTGAGAGCTCGAGGGGAACAGCTGTATAGATGGGGCTGGACAGGTGAGCTGGGCGCAGTCACAAAAGACCTGGAAGTCATGCAAGGGCTTTCATCCCGGGGATAGTGGGGAGCCATGGAAAAGTTTTAAACATGACTTAAAAGGTGAAGCATGACTGAGTTTGCCTTTTTCCCTCTCAGGAGCCTTGTGGGGAGCTCAACAGTTGGCTATTGGAGAGAAGGGAGCCGTGGCACTGAGAGACTGCCAGGCCAGGCATGGCCCTGAGCCCAGAGGCTAGTCTGGTCCTCTGTGAAAGCTCAAAGACGACACCTGGTCTCAGCTTCACCGAGGCCCCAGATTTCGGCTCCAGCACCATCTCTGGGCCCCACCTGGACATGAACCTTGTTCCCCTTATAAACCCAGCCCTGAATCCTGGCTCAGTTCTTGTTCCAGACCTTAATCCAACTCTGAGTCCTGTCTCAGAGGAGGCCCCTGGCCTGGCATCTGGTAACACCCCCAGCCCTGATGACGGCCAGACTGTGGGCCCTGCCTCCCTCCAGATCAACACTCCCCACTCCGGTGAAGCCTTGAGCCTGAGTTCAAATCACATCTTGAAGCCTAACTTGCAGAGGGCCCTAGGTCCAGCCTCAAACTTTGTTCTGAGCCCCAGCTCTACTGAGGCCCAGGGTCTGGGTTCAGGGAGTCATTCTGGGCCTGATGCTGAGGAGGCTTTCAACTCACTCTCAGGCAAGATTGCTGATTTGGGTCAGAGTAACTCCAACCCTTCCAGGTCTGAGGCAAATCCATTTATAAGGCCCTATTCAAGAGAAGCCCTGGTTGTGGGCCAGTGCGTCTCCAGGCCAGGCTCGAAAGTACTCCTTATTCCAGCCTCAAATTCTTCTCTGGACCGGGATTCCAGCCAGATACTTGGTGTGGGCTCAAGAAACACCTCCAAGCTGGACCTACATGCAGCTTCAGGTTCTGTTGGGACTCTGATCCCAGATACCAATGAGACCATCACTGTGGTTTCACATAAGATCTCCAGGTCTGTCTCAAAAGGAGCCTTTGGTGCAGCCTGGAACACGAGTTCCAAGGGAACCATCAATGTGGCTTCCAATGGTAATCCCAGGTCTGACTTGAACATGACCATCACTCAGGCCTCATGCTTGACCCTAATTCCTGGCTCCAGTGACAGTATCAGCCTGCACTCTAGTACCCATAGACCCAATTCCACCCTTTCTCCACCCTCATGCATGACCCTGATCTTGGCCTCCAATGAGACTCTCAGTCTTGGCTCCAGCCTTATCTTCAGTGACACCTCCACCCTGACACTGAGCAGCCAGCAGGATTATTCTGAGGACAACAGCATCCATGCCATACCCTTGGATGGGAATCTGGAGAGTTGGGGCGAGATGGTCAGCCCTGAGACGGGCCAGTTCCCGCTGGGGTTCCCCACCTGTAACACCACAGACAAGGACACCACAGCCTTCCAAAGCATCCCAGAGGGTGAGTACAGCAAGAGTGACAACCCCAGAGAGGGCGCTACCCTGGAAGAGTTTTGTATTCAGACTCGTAGGACAGGGAGGCTAGAGAAAGGAAGAGGGGAGAGGAAGGAACAGCATACAATGGACAGGATGCAAAATATTAGTATACACAAGCGATCTAGTGCTCAGCCTCTGCTTGCTGTGTGACTTGGGACAATCTACCTAATCTCTCTGAGCTTCAATTTCCCTAACTGAAACATCTCCATATCATAACAATTTTATTATGTCTAAATTATGAGAGTCACATAACTATACATTTCTTTCAAAATGTACGCCTCTTTCTCTCCAGTTAGATTTCAGGCCTGGCTTCTCAGGTTCAAATCTGACCAGTGGAGCAGGCACGTTCTAGGCTCAGCCAGCCTCTGTTGAGTGTTTGACATCCTCACTTGGGTGAAGCCTTGAAGTCCTGTCTGGAGCCTGCACCTCACTTACCTGGGAGTTCTGTAAATTAATCCCTTATCAATTTTTGATGTTATAAATATCTTTTTCCAGTCATTTATATCTCCAGATATTTTTGTTTGTTCATACACCAATTCCATATTGTGATTTTTAAAAATAGACCATGGCTTTGTAAACCTGTGTTTTCAGAGGTACAGTATGTATCTGGTAGGGTGAGTATTCCTCTTTGAGGTTTTTAGAATTATTCTGAGGACAATAGCATCCACACTGTGTCCTGAAGGGTATTAGTAGACCCTCTTTCTTCCATATACATTTTATTTAAAAAGAAAAAAAAACTTTTAAAGATTTTATTTTATTTTTAAAATTATTTATTTATTTATTTATTTATTTATTTATTTATTTATTTATTTATTTATTTATGAGAGAGAGAGAGAGAGGCAGAGACACAGGAGGAGGGAGAAGCAGGCTCCATGCCAGGAGCTGGACGTGGGACGTGGGACTGGATCCTGGGACTCCAGGATCGCGCCCTGGGCCAAAGGCAGGCGCTAAACCGCTGAGCCACCCAGGGATCCCAAAAGATTTTATTTTTAAGTAATCTCTACACCCAACGTGGAGCTCAAACTTACAACCCTGAAATTAAGAGTCACATGCTCCATCCACTGAGCCAGCCAGGAGCCCCTTCCATGTGCATTTTATTTTATTTTTTCCAAATATGCATTTTAGAATATATTTGTCTAAGTCCTCAAAAAGTCTTTATTAGGGGATTCCTGGGTGGCTCAGCAGTTTAGCGCCTGCCTTTGGCCCGGGGCGTGATCCTGTCAACCTGGGATCGAGTCCCACGTCGGGCTCCCTGCATGGAACCTGCTTCTCCCTCTGCCTGTGTCTCTGCCTCTCTCTCTCTCTCTCGAATACATAAATACAATCTTAAAAAAAGACTTTATTGTAATATTCTTAATTTATCCATCTATTCAAGTTTTCCTTTTATAGGATATATTCTTTGCTAGAATTTAAAAAATTCTCCATAAAGGTCCAGTGCTTTTTTTTGGTAGGTTAATTCCTAGGTACTTTGTAGTTTTTATTGCCATCATGAAGCATATCTTATCTTCTAATACAATTCTAATTTTGTGCTGGTGATGCTGATGATATAGAAGAGTTTTAAGAAAGTTGGTTTTTTCTTTAAGCAGCTGTATTGAAATTTACAGAACCATAAAATTTATCCACTTAAAGTATAAAATTTAATGCTTTAAAAATATACACAGTGTTATGCAGCCATCACCACAGTCTATTTTAGAACATTTTCATCACCCCAAAAAGAAGCCCTATACCCCTTAGATGTCATCCTCAACCCATGACCTCCAACCCCAGTCAATCACTAATCTACTTTCTGTGTCTATAGATTTTTCTACTTTGGACATTTCATATAAATGGAATCATACAATATGTGGTCCTTTTTTTTTTTTTATATGTGGTCCTTTGTGACTGGTTGCTTCTACTTAGCATAATGTTCTCAAAGTTTATGTTGTATTGCGGATCAGGGCTTCTTTCCTTTTTATGACTGAATAACATTCCGCATTTTGTTTATCTATTCAACAGTTGATAGATATTTGGGTTGTTTCTACCTTCTGGCTATTTTGAATAATACTACTATGAACATCCACGTATAAATTTTTATATGGATATGTCTTCGTATCTCTTTGGTACATACCTAGGAGTAGGATTGCTAGGTCATATGGCAACTCTGTGTTTAAGTGTGTGATTCAATGGCATAGTCACACTCACAGTATTGTACAACCATCACCACTATTTAGTTCCCAAACTTTTTCATCACTCCAAATAGAAGCTCATACCATAAAGCAATAGCCCCCCTAACCCCTCTCTCTCCAGGCTCTGCTAAACTCTAATCTGCTTTTTTTTCTCTTTGAATTTACCTACTCTAGATATAGCATGGAAGTGGAATTATGTAGTATTTGACCTTTTGTGTCTGGTTCATTTTGTTTACCATAATGTTCATTTCTGCTGTTGCATGTATCAGTGCTTCATTTTTTTTATGGTTGAATAAAATTCCAGTATGTGTACCACATTTTATTTGCCCATCTACCCATGGATGGACACTTGGGTTGTTTCCACTTTTTGGCTATTGTGAATAATGCTGCTATTATAAATTGCAAGTGCTTGTTTGAATTCTTATTTTCAATTCCTTTAGATATATACCTAGGAGTGGAATTGCTGGATCATCTAGTATTTCTATATTTAGCTTTTGGAGGAACTGCTAAACGATTTCCCAGAGCAGCTGTACTATTTTGCATTTCTACCACCAATATACAAGAGTTCTAATTTCTGCACTATTAATCTCTCCTTGCCAACACTTGTTATTTTTCTCTTTTTGAATATATATACACATATATTTTAAGATTTTATTTATTTATTCATAGGAGACACAGAGATAGAAGCAGAGACATAGGCAGAGGGAGAAGCAGGCTCCATGCAGGGAGCCGGATATGGGACTGGATCCCGGGACTCCAGTATCACGCCCTGAGCCAAAGGCAGATGCTTAACTGCTGAGCCACCCAGGTGTCCTGAAATGTTTTTACAATAGATATCCTAAAGGCTATAAAGTGGTATCTCTTCATAGCTTTGATTTACATTTCCCTAATGATGACCGATATTGAACATCCCTTCATGTGCTTATTGGCTGTTGTATCTTTGTGGAGGCCGAGAAAAATTAAGGCCATCCCACCTAAGGTTTAGCATTAGCACAAGTACAGCCATCTTAGGCCCCTGTGAATAAGAGCTGAACTTTATGGGAAAAACTGCAGAATGTCCTCAATGTTCTCGGCAGGTAATCCCATATCATAAAGACAACAGAGCCCACGCCCATGGTAGAAAGTCTCATATTAGAATGAGAACAAAGCTCAATGCCCTTGAAAGCCCCACATCAGAATGTAAACAGAACTTGGAGAAATTCCTCCACCCCTTCTGAAAATCCCCTAGACCAGCCTATAAAAAACCCAGCTGTAATCCACTTTGAGGTCCAAGTCCCTGCTCTGCTGTGTCGGGTATACTTGGACCCAAGCTCGAGCTTGCTAATAAACCCTCGCGCACTTGCATCGGTGTTGGCTCCTTGGTGGTTTCTCGGATTCGCAATCTTGGGCACAACAATCTTCTTTGGAGAGATGTGATGTATATTCAAGTCCTTTGTCCATTTTCAAATTTGGTGGTTTGTTTTTTGTTGTTGAGTTTTAGAAGTTCTTTATATATTCGGCTACTAATTCCTTATCAGATATATGATTTGCAAATATTCTTTCCTATTCTGTGAGCTGCCTTTTTGTTCTCTTGATAGTGTTTTTTTTTTTAAGATTTATTTATTTAAGAGAGAGCAAGTGCATGCTTGCATGAGTATGAGAGGGGGGAGAAGAGGAGGGAGAGGGATAAGCAGACTCAGAGCTGAGCTCTGAGCCACCCACGACTCTGCAATCATGACTCAAGCAGAAATCAAGAGTCCGACACTTAACTGAGCCACTCAGGCTCTCCGATACTGTTTTTGATGCACAAAAATTTTAAATTGTAAAAAATATTTTATTTATTTATTCATGAGAGACACACAGAGAGAGGCAGAGACCTAGGCAGAGGGAGAAGCAGGCTCTATGCAGGGAGCCCGATGAGGGACTCAATCCCGGGACCCTGGGATCATACCCTGAGCCAAAGGCAGATGCTCAACCACTGAGCCACCCAAGGGTCCCCCCAAATTTTAAATTTTGATAAAGTCCGATTTTATTTTTTCTTTTATTGTCTTTTTTTTTCTTTTGGTGTCATATTTTTTTTATAGAAGATCTTTTTTTTTTTTAAAGATTTTATTTATTTATTCATGAAAGACACAGAGAGAGAGAGAGAGAGAGAGGCAGAGACAGGCAGAAGGAGAAGCAGGCTCCATGTGGGACTTGATCCGGGGTCTCCAGGATCAGGCCCTGGGCTGAAGGCGGCGCTAAACCGCTGAGCCACCCCGGCTGCCCTCTTTTGGTGTCATATTCATGAAATTATTGCCATATCCAATCTCATGAAGGTTTCCTCCTATACTTTCCTTGAAGAGTTTTATAGTTTTAGCTTTTAAGCTTAGTCTTCGAGTCATTTTCATATATAGTGTTAGGTAGGGGCCCAACTTCATTCTTTTGCATTCTTTTTCCCCATTGAATGGTCTTGGCACCCTTATCAAAAATCAATTGACCACATATATTTATTTATTTCTGTGCTTTCTATTTTATTCCATTGGTCTATATGTCTGTCCTTATGCTAAAACCACACTGTCTTGATTATTATAGCTTTGCAGTAAGTTTTGAAATCCAGAAGTGTGAGTCCACTAACTTTTTTTTTCAAGATTATTTTGGCTATTTAATGTCAATCTTTTTATTATTATTTTTTGACGTTTTCTTTAAGTAATCTCTATACTCCATGTGGGGCTTGAATTCATGATCCTGAGATCAAGAATTGCATGTTCCTCCAAGTTAGCCAAATGCCCCCAATCTTTACTTTTTAAAAGGAACATTTTGTCTATTTGCATTTTTAAAGATATTTATTTATTCACTTATTTGAGACAGAGAGAGCATGCACATGTGGGTGCAGGCTGAGGGAGGAGCAGAGGAAGCAGTTCAAGCAGACTCTGCCCTAGAGCATGGAGGCTGAGGTGGGGCATCCCAGGATCCTAGGATTACTACTGAAGAGTCAACGGCCAACCAACTGAGCCACCCAGGCGGGCCTTGTCCATTTGCATTTTTAAAGACAACATGTTTTCAAATTGTATTAGCCTCTTAAAAACTTTGTCAAGATACATAACACGTATCAATGAAATATGTAAAGTGTACAACTAATCTCAAGTACAGCTTGATTAGTATTTACATATGTACACATGCTGGTAACTACCACACAGATCAAGACACAGATCTTTGCCAGCAGCCGAGAACCCTCCCTTGTGACCTTTTCCATTCAATACTCTTCTCCTGAGGCAAGATCTCCCAACCTTGGCAGTACTGACATTTTGTGTTAGATAACTCTTTGTTGTGTGGATGTGGGTTTGGACAGGGGAGCCAGCTGCTAGCATTGTAAGATGTATCCCTGGATTCAACCCAGTAGATCCTAGTAGCACCACCGCCATTTGTAATAAATGTTATGTGGAGGGTCACCTGGGTGCCTCAGTGGTTGAGTGGCTGCCTTTGGCTCAGGGCGTGATCCTGGGGTCCTGGGATTGAGTCCTGTGTCAGGCTCCCCACAGGGAACCTGTTTCTCCCTCTGCCTATGTCTCTGCCTCTCTCCATGTGTCTCTCATGAATAAAGAAATAAAATCCTAAAAAAAAAATAAATGTTTTGTGGAGAAGTACTTCAAAACTATGTAAATATTTCATTCCTCATCAAACTTTCAATTTATTCATGTACTTGTTTATGTTAGTATAGACTCATGATTTCTTAGGTTATTCAATGAATTATAGTCTGTTGCTACCGTTATTTATTGTGATACTCAAATCATCCGCAATTTGACCAGTGGGATCACTTCAAGTAAGCTGTTGTGTTCCTTTGACATGTCCCCATCATTCTTTGAGCTCTCTTCCTAGCTTTCCAGTACAAGATATCTCAGGCTTATTCTATACTTTTCTGCCCAAATCCCAGACTCAGCCACTTCTCCAAGGAGATTTGTTCCTCCTAGTGGAAAATGGTACCCACCCAGAAGACAAGATATTGGAGCAAGCCATGTTCACTACTATTGGTGTCTCTGCTTCTATCTATTTGCTCCATCCTCCAGAAGCCTCTGGTGGCTGAGGTGGCCCTGAACCAAGTTCCGGGCACTCACAGGCCTTCAGAAGGAGAGAGACCCATTCTCTTTTGGGTTCCCCTCAGTGCTCTTGAATAAGGGGCTCTGTTGGTCCTGTTCAGTCAAGTGCCCATCTCTGGGCCAATCACCGGGGCTGGAGGCATGGGATGCTTTTATTGGCCATGCTTGGGTTCCAGGCCCACCCCTATCTGAAGAAGGGGTGATGGATGGGCTTCACCTAGCTACGTGGAAAGGGTAGCCCACAGGGGAGAAGGGGCTCTTTCTTTAAAAGAACGATGAGGAAATCTAGGGCTGACAAAACAGGTATCTACTACAACAAATCAGAGTTTAATTACACATTGTGATAACAGCTGAAAGAAGAGAGTAGGATGATGCTCAAGAGGGTTGTATTGAAAGCCTCCTTTACCCTGAAGATCTAGGAGGCCTTTCTGAGGAGTGGCAGGCAAGTGAAGATATGAAGAAGGGGAGCCCTAGCTGGGCAGTGGGGTGTGGTAGCAGAGTGGCCCAGGTGGAGGAGATCACCTGTGCAAAGGCCCTGATGAGGGGGCAGGTTGCCCTGCCCCAAAGGCAGACAATGTGGCCAGAGCATGGTGAGAGGAGTGCAGCAGGAGATAGCCCTGGGGAGAGGGCCAGGGGACACTGATCCGGTAGGGACTTGAGGGCACTGACAAGAATGGTGGCTTTATGCTCAGTGGATAGGGCACCACTGAAGGCTTTCAGGGAAGAGAGCTCAGTGTGGCTGCTAGGGGAATAAGGACTGGAGGGGCCCTGTGGGGGAGGGGAAACAGGACTGAGGCACCAGCTCTATACCCACATCTTTACCTTCCTTCTTGTTTCCTCCTTGAAACTATGACATTCAGGAGCCTTCGATGAAGTGGCCTCCTGTTTGGTGAAGGTGCCAGGGAAGAGAGACAAAGACAGCAAGATGGCTCTGGTATGCTTCCTGCCCCACCCCCAACTGACTTTCCTGGGATGCCCCCTCCCCCCCCAGTCCCATTGCTTGCTCCCTGTTTCTCTGCCCAGCTCTTCTCTTCTCCTTGGGACTCATCACCAGCTGGTGTACACTATACTTTATTAGTTCATCTTGTTGTTTTTTTTTTTTTTTTTTTTTTTTTTGTTAGCCTCTCACACTGGAATGCATCCTCCATAAACCAGGGATTTTTTTTTTTTTAAAGATTTATTAGAGGGAGAGAGAGAGCATACCAATGGGGGGAGGGACAGAGGGAGAGGGAGAAGCAGACTCTCTTCTGAGCAGGGAGCCAGACGGGGCTTGATCCCAGGACCCTGACCTGAGATCATGACCTGAACCAAAGGCAGATGCTTAACTGACTGAGCCTCCCAGGTGCCCCTAAATCAGGGATTTTAGTCTGTTTTATTCACAGCTCTGTTCCCAGCATCTAGACTGAAGTACATCATAGGTGCTCGATAAAGATTTTTAAGCAACTGAATCAATTGTGAGAGGATCTCTTAAAGATGAAGAAAGGCAGTAAATGGCCCTTTTCAGGACATAGTCCCAAACCAGGTGTTGCCTTGGGAGACCAGAGAAAGCTGGCACCTGTAGGACTTGGTGAGGGCCAGTAGGGGCCTACTGGACAGGCTAGTGGACGTGAGTGCGAATACATGTGCTGTGGGGGAGACTGGCTGGTGGACAGAGCCTGGAGGTGGGATTCACCCAAGCCAGGCCATGCAGGAGGGAGGTCCTGCTCTCAGGCTGCTCCAGTCCCTGGGGTGTCCCAGGGTGGGGCATGGGGAGAGAGTGACAGGACTAATAAGAGGTCTTGCATTTTGGGAGCATACCAGCCCATGACATCCCTCTGGCTGTCCACCTTGCTCTTGCCAAACTGGCCTTTCTCTGCTTCTTACACGTGCCATGTTCCTTCCTGCCCCAGGGCCTTTGCACTTGTCTTTTCTGCCAGGAAATTTCTTCTTAGCTACAAAATGAGCATAATAAAGTTCGAATAAGGTCTGTGTTAACGTATGCACAGCACTGAGCAAGGTGCCTACAACAAATATGGTTTATTACTGCAGTCATTCAACAAATTTTGTTGAGTCCCTACTACATGCAAGGGATCATTTCAGGCAGTAGAAATACAACAATGAAGTAGCATTCTAGTTTGGAGAGATAGGCGGACCTTCCCCTAGTTCTGCACATGGTTACCTCTTTTATTTTTCTTTCAGTGCAAAAACATGTTTTTTTTTTTTTTTTTTTTTTTTTTTTTTTTTTTTTTTTAATAGCACAGGGACAAGACCTGTGGGCAGAAAGAAAGAATAGTCTTTTTTCTTTTTTTTTTTTTATGGTTACCTCTTTCTTGTCATTCAAGACTCAGGCCAAATATCGACTCTTCTGAGAGGTCTTCCATGACCATTCAGTCTACTAGCTATCCCTCTATCATCACTTTGGCAGTTTAAGATACCAGTTGTTACATAGCAAACCACCCCAAAACTTAGTGGTCTAAAAGCTCACTCTGATGGGGAAATAAGGACCAAGGGGCCCAATTTCTCATGATACTGAAATTAAACAAAAATTTAATTTTTGTTTAATTTTTGAAATTTTAATTTTTGTTTAATTTAATTTATACCATGTTATAAGTGAATAGGTATTATATTAGTTTCAAGTGTACAATGTAGCAGTTCAACATTTAGGTACATTATTACCAAGTGATCATCAGGATAAATGTAGCTACCATCTGTCACTATGCACCTATGCTGTACGTTGCATCCTTGTGTCCTAATTATCTTATAATGGGAAGTTTGTACCTTTTAACCCCCTTCTTCTATTTCACCCAGCTCCCCAGCCCCCTCCCCTCTGGCAACCACCAGAATGTTTTCTATATCTATGAGTCTGTTTGTGTTTTATTTTGTTTTTTAGATTTCACATATAAGTGAAATCATACGGTATTTGTCTTTGTCTGACTTATTTCACTGAGCACTATAGCCTCTAGGTGTATCCATGTTGGTGCAAATGGGCCAGATCTCATTCTTTTTTATGGCTAACATTCCACTGTGCGTGTCTATATATAAAATCTCACATACCTTCTTTATCCATTCATCTATTGATAGACACTCAGATTGCTTCCATATCTTGGCTATTGTAAATAACGCTGCAATCAACGCACTGCTGCACACATCTTTTAGAGTGAGTGTTTTTCTTTTCTCCAGCTAAATACCCAGAAGTGGAATTACTGGATTGTATGAGAACTCTGAAATTGTCTGGGCTCAGCAAGGTGGCTCTTGTGCTCTCCTGCTGTAGACAGGAGCAGGGGCTGGAACATTGAAGATGACCCTCATCTTCCACATGGTGCCATCATTCCATGTCTAGCTGGGTTTCCTTGTAGTGTGGTGGCTGGGTTCCAGAAGGAAAAGGCTGCCAGTTGCCTTAAGGGCTAGGCCAGGAATTGGCACGTCATCACTTCCTGGGATTCTATTGGTCCAAGCAACTGGGAAGACGAGCCCTGGTTCAAGGGCTCTCTGTCTTCTTGGTGGCAGTGGCCAAGAACATGTGGCATGTCTCACCCACCACACTGCTCGTCAGGTTCACTTGTTTTGGTTTTTTCACTATATGGAATTAGTTCATCTATTTCATCATTTTTTCTTCTTTTACCTTGAGATAATGAGAAGTCATAGATTAATTGGACATTGGTAAAGGTATTTCCTCTCTCAGGTGGCAGAATGCCTTGCTCTGACTAGGATGTGCCCTTAAGAGTGGATACGAGAGTGGCACCTGCGTGGCGCAGCCAATTACACGTTTGCCTTTGGCTCAGGTTATGGTCTCAGGGTCCTGGGATCGAGTCCCCTGCTCAGAGGGGAGCCTGCTTGTCCTCCTCCCTTTGCCTCTCCCCCTACTCTTTCTCTCTCTGTCTCTTTTTTTAATAAATTTAAATTTATTAAAAATAAATCTTTTTTTAATAAAGATTTTATTTATTTATTCATGAGAGACAGAAAGAGAGAGGCAGAGACACAGGCAGAGGGAGAAGCAGGCTCCATGCAGGGAGCCTGATGTGGGACTTGATCCCGGGTCTCCAGGATCATGCCCTGGGCTGAAAGCTGTGCTAAACCGCTGAGCCACCTGGGCTGCCCAATAAATAAAATCTTAAAAAAAGAGAGTAGGTACTAGAAACCCTTAAGAGGTATTACTAATGGTGTGATTCCAACTGGAGGCATCAGCACCTCTTCCATCCCATCAGCTCCTACCCCTTCTCCCTCAAGAGAGTTAGAGTACTTTGCAGAGCCTGAAATCTAGTCCTCCCCCAAATGCTGCCCTTCGGGGATTATCCACAGCCTTCCCAAATCTGCACCCCACCCCAAGGGCCCCCGTGGGTTCGCATTACTCTGGAACCAGTTCCGGGGGTTGGCAGCCGGGGACAGGTGCACGGTAGCTGGTGGGGGTGTGCGGGCAGCCCCTGAGGGTGGCAGTCAGTGTGGTTCTCACCCTGCTGTCTCCAAGGTGGAGAATGTCATCACCCTCCAGAAGTGCCAGGATGTGCTAGAAGGAGAAGGAGAGAAGAAGACCATGATGAAAAAGATGATGGTGTGGGAACCCCGCACGGGTCTGTGGCGTTGGGTGGGTGGAGGTGGGAGTCCCAGTCCACACACTGGTGAGACAAGGCTTGAGGTGGGAGGACTGAGGAGAAGGCAGGATGCTTGGATTTGAGGCTCAGCCCACCTCTGACTGCCCTCCACCTCCCTGAGGGAGCTCAGCAAGCTACTTTCCTTCTCTGAGCCTGGCTCTTGTCATCTCATCAGCACCTGAGGTAATGCCTTGTGCACCAGCTGGCTTGTTGGGAGGACACCACCCAGTGGTTAGACTGCTGTAGGGCCCTAGGCCCCTGGGAGCAGTCATTATTATTTAATACATTCTTTTCCCAGAAATTCCTCATGGTGGGAAACATTCAAGAGTTTCCCTCATTGTTTTGCAAAATACATTCACTTCTCAGTCATCCACTGAAATGGTTTGGGCCACTGAAATCCTCAAAATTATATTTAGCTTTGGGTCCCTTAAAGATAAAAGCCTTGCCTTGGATAACTTCATTTCATTGACATTAATTGAGCACCTATTGTATGTAGAGGCTAGATCAAAAGTGAGAAGTAATTAGGTCATTTTTATTTTATTTTTTAAAGATTTTATTTATCTATTTGAGGGAAAGAGAGAGAGAAAGAGAGAGAGAGAAAAAAACCAGCTAGTGCACAAGCTGGGGGAAGGGAGAGGGAGAGAGACAAGCAGACTCCCTACTGAGCATGGAGCCCCATGTGGGGCTCGATCCCAGGACCCTGAGATCATGACCTGAGCCAGTCAGACACTTAACTGACTGAGCCAGCCAGCTGCTCCTTGGATGTTTTTAAAGGAATTCAAGTGGACCCCCTTCAGGAGCCATTCATGGTGTTTTCTGCTTCAGGCCAGTCTCTGGCTTAAGTGTGCCTCCTTACCACGAGGCTGCCAAAGCAGTTCTTGCTGGGCCTTGTGTATAGGGTGCAGCCGGTAGGGGTGCGGATTGTTTGTGGTGGCCTTGAACTGGGCTCAGGATGGGAGTTGAGCATAGTTGACTCTCCCCACAGAGGCCCTGCACGGTTCTGTCCAGGCTGGGGGCTTTCACAGCTTGTGCCCTATGCTGAACAGTGGCCCCCATCCTGGGGGTTTGCATGGCCTCACCCCCCTCATCGGCCCCCTGTGGTCCCCCCATCCAGAGGCAGATCCAGGAAGAGCCACTGGATTCCCTCTCCAGCACCGTCCGCTGGCAGGCCATGGAGACCCTGACTCAGCTGAGGTGTCCACAGCCCCTCCCCAACCCCCTGCCCCTTGCCCCCTTCCCTGGGCTCCACCTGCCTCTCCTGGGGCCTGGCCTCTGTACCCCACCCTCTCCTGTGCCTTTTCCTTTCCCCAGGCCCTGTGCTCCACACCCACTTCCCTCCTCCGGGGCCATAGAGCCCCTCCCTGCCCCCCCTCCCTCACCGCTGGCCCGTCTTTCTCTGTCTGCAAGTCACACCCAGCCCATCCTGGGATGGCAAGAACGGTCAGAGCTGGTGGACACGTGTGTGAAGAGTGTGTTCTCCCTTCCATCGGTGCAGGCCATGCAGGAGAAGGACGAGGCCAAGGCTGAGGCCATACAGGTGAGTCCTTGGGGCTTCCCACGTTCTTAGACTAGGGTGCATTTCTAAGCTCTCAGAGGGGAGAGAAAGAGCCTTCTAGGAGTTGATTGCGAATCTTCACCCTCCTACGCAAGCTCCTGGCCTGAGCAGGCACTTGATAAATATTTGGTGAATGAGTGAATCTTTGGAATAAGGGATTGCTCATTTGGGGTGCTCTGCCCAATCCTGGGTCCTGTCCTGAGTGAGGGATGTGAGCATGTGTTGGCCTGGCCCTAGGAGGTGGCCGGGATTTGGAGGAGGAGGAGGTCTGAGGACCACGTGAGCTGGGGTGAGCGTAGAACCTCAAGGGGCTCATGTAAGCATCTTCCAACCTCGGCAGGGTTGTCCCAGGAGAAGTGGGTAGAGGTGACCTTAGTGTAGGAAGTTGGGTCAGTGAGGGAGACTCAGGGAGAGGAAGGTGCATTCCTTCATCCTTTCATTCAGCAAATACAATGCCCACTCCAGAAGCACCAGGGGGTGGGCGATACAGTAGAGGGAAGGCAGCGGGGAGCTAGACATTGTCAAAGAATCATACGAATAAATGCAAAATTGCAGCAATGGTAAGGGTTGCAAGCAAGGAGTACTTGGTGCTACAAAGAGCCTAGAATGGATGTCCTGGCCTAGGTGGGGTCAGGGGTCATGGGGCTGTAGCTGACAGGTTAAAGAAGAGCTAGTTAGCTGGGAGGGGGAGTAGCAGAAGGAACGGCCTGTGCCGTGGCCTGAGGACGGTGAGAACATGGTGACTCCAAGGATGACAAGGGGGCAGCGTGGCCGGAGGCAAGAGTGCCGGGAAGCAAGGCTAGAAAGCAGTGGTATCCAGGCCACCCTTGAGGGCAGCTTGAGGGCTCTGGGTCCTGAGGGACAAGACCCAAAGGCGGCCGGGGGTGGGGGTGGGGGGGATGGGGGGGCGACGACGACACCCTGGTCCTGGGAAGTGCAGGCAGCCCTCCTGCAGTTCCAGGCCCGGACAGCAGAGGGCAGTGCTGCACAGCGATGGGCCAGAAGGAGGAGGGAGGTAGTTGGCAGGTGGGGTGGGCTTGGTAGTGGTGGTGTAACCTGGGTGTGCACAGACCAGGAAGCCTGGACAAAGACAACCTGGGGGACAGACAGACGTGAGGAGCTGGCAGACGGAAAGGAGGCATGGGACAGAGGGTCTTCCCAGAAGGGCTCAAACCCCCTCTTCAGCCTACAGCTTCCTAAGACAATTCTGGGACTGTGGTGTGGCCAAGGGAAGGGGAACCCCGGGGCGGGGGAGACGTGGCTCCCTGGAGGGGCCACTGGAAAATCTATTTGGGTCTAGGAGTAGCCATCACAGAACTTCCCAGAGACAATAATAAAAGTGAGGCTGGCCCTCCCGTTTACCTGGCTCCTACAGTTCTAGCCGCATTTCCCACCCATCCTCTCATTTGTTCCTCACCATGTTGTGTGACTGGACAAATGTTTTTCTCATTGGAGAGAGAAGTGAGCACGGGAGGGTCAGAGGGAGAGAGAATCCTCAAGCAGACTATGCTAAGCGTGGAGCCCCATGCAGGGCTCGATCCCAGGACCCTGGGATCACGACCTGAGCTGAAACCAGAGTCCGATGCTTAATCGACTGCACACCCAGGTGCCCCTACCAATTTGTTGATAAGGAAACTATAACCCATGGTGTCCAATACTATACCTTAAGTTAGTCTCTCAGGTGGGGCTAGAAAGCAGTCTGAGTGTCCCTCCTCCCCTGACCCAGAGCAGGGTGGGGGTACGGGGTCACTGGGGCCAGGTCCGCTCCAGCAGCCCCCTAGCAGCTGGTCCTCCTCCTCCCCACAGAAGCTTTACCAGCAGACCCTGGATGCCCTGCAGACCCTGCTCAACGCCCTCTTTGTTGAGGACCCCACTCCTGCTGGGCTGAAGAGCATCTTGGAGGTGTGGGGGTGGGAGGAGCAAAGGGACAGAGGGGAAAAGAGGAGCGGTGGGGGGCTGGGTCCAGAAGGAGCAGTTTGACTTCAGGATGTCATCTTGGGCCAGTGCCCCCCCCCGCCCCCACCCAGGGTCCCTCCTACAGGTCCTGTTCCAAACTCCTGCCCCTTGGCTGTCTCCCTATCCCCCAGTGTTCTGGCTCTAGCTGTCCCCATAGCTTTGCCTTCCCTGTTCTCATCCCTGTGTCTCTCTCTTCTATCCTCATGACTCGCCATCTATCATCTCTCTCCTCACTGACCTTCGTTCTCCCTCTGGTCTTCCGGTCTTAGCCTCAGCTCCTGGACCCCAGGGCTCCCTCTGCCCCAGGAGGAAGAGGCGGAGGAGGAGGAGGAGAGGGCTGTGGACGGTTGCCCTTGTGCCCTGGCAGCTTCCTGCTGACCGGTAAAGGCTGACCGGCCCACTCAGGCGGCAGAGGGTGGCCTCCAGCCTGGAGCTCTGAGTCTCCCCCTTGTCCTTGCAGCCCCTGGGGCCCTGGATGAACTCCGGGAAGGCCCATGAGCGAGCACGGGCCGTGAACAGCAATGTGTCTGTGTTGAATCACACGCTTCTGACCCTGCCTTTCTTTGTGAGTGGTCCCTGGGAGGGGAGGACACTGAGGAGGGAGAGTCTTGTTGGCTCTAAGGGAGCTGTGCATCTGTCCAGAGATTCCCAGGTGGCCCTTGTCATCTTCAGAGGGCTCTGCTCTCAGGGCCCGACCATCCAGCTCTGTTCACTAATTGCTGTATAAGATTATTGAACTTCTAAGACCCAGTCCCTGAAGTTATGACACAAACAGATGTCCTCGGGGTTCCCGGCGCTGGGGCTTCTGCTGGGGAGGCTCATCCTTCGCATCGGGGATCCTGATGAGGAGATTGGCCGGGAGGCTCTGGACGGCATCATCATCCTCTACACCATCCTGGAGCTCCAAAAACGTAAGCCCTTTGGGGTGCCTCTCAGGCAGGGCTTCCGAGCAGGTGCTCAGCCTGGGAATTGACCAGAACCTTGGCAGCAAGGCACAGGTAGATGGAGACCAGCACAGGGTCTGACGGGGTCTGCGGAAGCCGGTGTGAAGCCTCAGTCCCCACAGGACCAGAGGGAGGCTACAAATAGCCCTATTTTGATTTAAGCAGTCCTTGTATCTGATCCGCTCTTCGTCCTTCCAAGTGTTATCTGTGACTCTCATTGTCACATTCCTATGACAGCACCATGCACACCTAGGCGTGATGGCCCCAGTGTGCTGAGAGCAGGGCAAGTCCATGTCATAGTCACCATGCATTCCCAAGGGCTAGCCCTGGGCTGGGCACATGGTGGGTGAATATTTATTCAATGAATGAACAAAGGACAGGTCCCACGTTAGAATCTGGAGTGGCTACAGCCTGTAGGTGGGAGAACCACCTCAGATCCCGCTCTAGGGAGCTGGTGGTATGAAATGGGCTGACCCAGGCACCCCACTGGCATCGTACCTAGAGGTGTGCAGTCTCAGCAGCTTCCTGCCTCCTTCCTTTCCCCATGGTCCCAACCCTGCCCACGGGCCTTTGGCATGTTGTTTAAACTTCCCTGGCTCTGGGGGCAGAGTGACCTGGCAATCTGAAATCACATTTAACTGGGTATCCTATATTTTATCTGGTGACCCCAGCCCCACACTGTTAAATTCTCAAGGATGAGGTGGTTTGTGGGGGTCCCCTGAGTGTAGGGAGCAGCAAAGCTAGGCTTTGAACTTGGGTCTATCTGATTCCAGGTCTCAAGCTTCTTTCCTTTACAAATGACCCACACACTTGGTCCATATGGTCCCTCTGCTTCAACAGCCCTTCCTTGTGTTGATGCCCTGCGTACTCTGGGGGGAATCCAGGGAGGACCCAGGCCAGGCTGCAGTAAGGCCTTAGGAAATGAGCCTGAAATAGGTTTCCTTCAACAGAAAATATGAAGCCACCATGTTCCAGATCTATGCTAATCACTGAAAACACTGCAATGAAGTTAAATAACCCTCCCTGTTGGGTTTACCTTCTTGTTGTCAAGAGACAGTGAACAAAATAAACAAGTAATACATATAGTGAAGTCAGATAATGATGAGCACTAAAGAACACAAATCAGAAAAAGAGGCTTGGGACTACCAGGGTAGGGACATTGCAGTTTAAAAGAGGTATCACCACACACCCACCAGAACAGTGAGAATCAAACCGACAGTTCACTGATGGTACATGAAGCCTCTGGAACTCTCCTGCATTGCTGGTGGGCATATAATTGGACCCACCTGCAGCCTGCAAAACCGTTTGGCAGCATCTCCTGAGGCCGGACCTATGCCTACCTTAGGACCCCGCAAGTACACTCCTGACCGTGTACCTAACAAATGTGTGCATACATTTCCTGAAAGGCATGGGCAAGACATACCAGAATGTTCTTAGCAGCACTGATAGCTTTTTAAAAATGACCCAAATGTCCATCAGAAATAGAGAGGGCAGCCCGGGTGGGTCAGCGGTTTAGTGCTGCCTTCAGCCCAGGGTGTGATCCTGGAGACCCAGGATTGAGTCCCACATGGGGCTCCCTGCGTGGAGCCTGCTTCTCCCTCTGCCTGTGTTTCTGCCTCTCTCTCTCTCTCTGTGTGTCTCTCATGAGTAAATCAATAAAGTCTTTTTTTTTTAATTTTTATTTATTTATGATAGTCACACACAGAGAGAGAGAGAGAGAGAGAGGCAGAGACACAGGCAGAGGGAGAAGCAGGCTCCATGCACCAGGAGCCCGACATGGGACTCGATCCCGGGTCTCCAGGATCGCGCCCTGGGCCAAAGGCAGGCGCCAAACTGCTGCGCCATCCAGGGATCCCCAAAGTCTTAAAAAAAAAAAAAAAGAAAAGAAATAAGAGAGAAATAAATGGTAGTGTATCCACACCACAGAAAATGACGCAGCACCACGTACCAATGAGCTAACGTGACTTGCGACAGCATGGATAAATCTTACCCGCAGGATGTTGAGGGAGAGCCAGGCACACAGGAGAACATACTACGTTAAGTCCAATAGCAAGAAATCTAACCTGTGGGTTTAGGGGTCAGAATGGTAGTTGCCCCGGGTGGGGGAAGGGGCAGGGGACTAAAGAGAACAAAGAGGAGCTTCTAGGGTACCTATTACGTTCTGCTTCCCGACCTGGGTGTTGGCTACCTGGATGTGTTCTCTATGTAAAAATTTGTCAAGCTCGTTTTCTAGGATTTGTGTCCTACCTCCATGTTTAACAAAAAGTCAAAAAAAAAAAAAAAAAGAAAGAGTGGTTGGGTCTCACTGAGGCTTCTTTCTTGCAGGAACCAGAGATAAGGAAGAGACCAATAAGGAGGAGCTGTATGAGAGCAACAAGCGATTCCTGGGGCCCTACAACCCTGTCAGCCCATGCCAGAACATTCTGCGTGTGATCGCGGTGACTGCCGGCTGCCCACCAGCTCTGGGCCTTCCTGGGAATGGGAATCTCTTCTCCCCACTTCCATCTTTCCAGGCTCATGTTCCCTTTAAGGAAGCTTTCCCCAACCACATGGGCCCACCCCGAGTGCCCCTTCCTCCTCTGCTCTGTGCCCAGAAGCACATTATCCCACTCTGGGGGCAGGATGCATGTCTCCCCGTCTTCTGTAGCTCCTCCCCACTGTGTTGGACACCCACAGAGTATACATGCCTGGCCCTGCCGACTTCTGTGTGGATCTGGTGGTGGCTGTGTGTGTGTGTGTGTGTGTGTGTGTGTGTGTGTGTGTGTGGCTCCCTTAGGGTCCCTCCAGGTGTCAGTATCTCTGTGCTTTTGTTTCAGGAATTCGGAGACTTCCTGGGACCCCAGCAGGTAAAGGACCTGTTGCTCGCAGCCCTGGAAGGCTTGAAAGGCAGCTCAGAGACCCGGGGGAAGGACTCTGGGGAGATGATGCAGCTGGCCTCGGAGGTCACGCTCAGCTCCGTGCTGGAATGGTACCGCCACAGGGTGCTGGAGGTGGTAAGGCTCCCTGGGGGCAGGGGCTGAGCCGGAGACCGCACGGGGCCTGCTCATCCCTTGGGACCTGCCGTCTGGCAGTGGCAGGGTGGGGGGAACTGGAACCCCTAAGCGTGGGGGCAAGGCAGGGTGGTGTGGCTGAGTTCTAGGTGCCCCCCTTGTGGGTGAGAAAGAACTCACTTACTGATCTGGTGGGGGTGGGGAGGGCAGTGAGGACAACTGGCTCTCCCAGGGAAGGAGCAGGTGCGCTGCTCCCCCCCTCCCCTTCTCTCTCCTGGTGCCCTCCTCTCTCTCTCTTTTTTTCTCTCCCCTCCCTGGCCTCTCTATCCTGTCACCCCCACCCCCTTTCTCCTCCTGTCTCCCTACTCTCCCCTTGCCTGCCTTGACCTTCCAACCGGACATCTGCCTGCTGCTCACGACTGCTCTGGCTCTGCCCCAGATCCCAGAAATCATGCAGGGCATCTATGTGCAGCTGAGCCACATCCAGGAGCCACGGGCCCGCGAGGTGGCCCTGCTGCCCGTCTCCCTCCTGGCCAGCTCCTTCATGACCGAGGTGGTTGTGGCCCTGCTCACATGCCCTCTACCGCTGGACAGGTACCAACTGGGGGGCTCCTGCCACTACACCTTAGAGGGTTGGAGCAGCCCCCATCCTTGGCTGGGTACCTGTCCTTCCACTCAGGGAAGGCCTTGCCTTCCCAGCTGACCCCTTTTCTATGTGGTCTGTGGTGCTTATGACAATTGTGGAGCACTTTTGAGGCACTGTGGAGAGCAGTAACATCTCTCCTTAGTACAATGATCCCACTTTACAGATGGGGAAACTGAGGGGCAGTTCCTTGTCCTCGGGCCCCAGTGAGCAAGCAACAGGATGAGGACCCAAACTGAGATTTGACCAACTCCAAGCCCAGCACTCTAAGGATGCCATAGAAAGGAGGCCTGAGAGTTGGTGCTGACTCTGCCTCTAGCTGCTGTGTGGTATTGGGTAGTTTACTTGCTCTCCCTGGGCTTCAGTGTTCCCCCATAGGCAAAAGTGGGACATGCCCCCTGCATGACTCCCACCCCTTATGGCTGGTTGTGACAGGTAAGGTCACCAGTTGAGCTGGGTGCCTGCCCAGCCTGGACTGTGCAGTAGGATGCTCCCTCTCTCTGCCTTCAGGGAGCTCATGGTCTGATGGGCAGAGGGGACTGGACCAGAGAGATCAGACTGACTGCTCCAACCTCCCAGTCCAGGAAACACTCGCACACCTTTGAATGAACAGAACGAGGCAGGAAGCCTGTGACCCACACTTTAAGATCGTTGTATGATAGTGCACGCAGAATTGTGCCGATCTGTGGGGTGAGGTGTGCTTCTAGTAGGGATGATTGGTGTCATTCTTAGAGGCTGGGAAGATTGGGTGGGAAGATGAGGGCCTGGGTAACATGTCCCCGACCTCCCACCTGGAAGATTTTCACCTCTTCTGGCCACACTACCCCCCCCCCACCTCCCCAAGGGTTTCTTCTTGGGATCACCAATCCTTCAGACTCACAAGACTGGCAGGACCACACCTGACACTCAGGATATAGGACAGATATAGGACACTCAGGGGCTCCTCCTCCCAGGAGTCCTCGCAGCAGCCTGTGCAGCAGGCCAGACAGAGCCGGGACAGAATGTAAGGACGCCTGGAGCTCAGGTGCCTTGCCGGTGCTTGCATGAGCCCCAGAGAGACTGGCTCCTTCCATCTTGTACCCTGGATGCCTCACATGCCTCACCCTAGTCTTTCCTCTGGGCTTATGAGCTGGACTCTTGGGCCTCCCCAGTAAAAAGGTAGGGGCTGCCCTGGCTGAAATGGTTCATAAGAACTGCTACCTCTGGGATCCCTGGGTGGCGCAGCGATTTGGCGCCTGCCTTTGGCCCAGGGCGCGATCCTGGAGACCCGGGATCGAATCCCACGTCGGGCTCCCAGTGCATGGAGCCTGCTTCTCCCTCTGCCTATGTCTCTGCCTCTCTCTCTCTCTCTCTCTGTGACTATCATAAATAAATAAAAAAAAAATTAAAAAAAAAAAAAAAAAAAAGAACTGCTACCTCTTACAAAAGATCTCTAGACTTTGCCTCTGGGATCTCCACAGGGATGAGAGGAGTCCCAAGAGTCACTGCACCCTGGGAAGCTCAATGCTACAGCGTCCTCCTGGGTTCTCATAGTTAATTTATAGTTCCTCCCAGCCCAGATGCAATTTACCACTTGGGTCATTTTTACCATAAGCAATGTTGCCTAGCAACATAGTTGACATACTATCTTTATCGGGTTTCCAGGGAAACAGCTAGGAAGTAATGGGAGGTTCAAATGCTCATGCAGAGGGGAACAGGGCTCTGTTAACCCTTTAGTGCACCCCAGGCCTGTCAGTGCTTTCAGCTCTCCACAATAGATAGGAGCTCCCACAGGCTGGTGCCAGCTGGCCCGGAGGCTTTCCCCTGCCTTGTGAGGGGACTGGAGCAGGGACTCCTTGATACAATGCGACAAACGGAAGGTCCAGGCCCCAAGGGACCTCCTGGCACAGAGGAACGACCTCAGGCTCTGAAGGCACCAGACCCGGTCACTTCCTGACTCTGTAGCTCATTAGCTGCGATGTCATAGACTAATGATCTCACCTCTCTGAGTCTCAACTCTGCATCTGTAAAATTGGAATGACAACCCACCTTGAGGGTCTTTTGAGAATCCGGTGAACTGGAGTATCTTGCCTGTCTTGTTCATATCTATATGCCTAGAGCCTTGCCTAATGCCTGGTGTACAGCAATGCTCCATATTTACTGAATAGATTGTGTATAAAGCACCTGGCCTGATACCTGGGAAACAGGGTTTTCAATCATTGCTTGCCCCCTGCCTCTTAAAGAGTGTGTTTTCTGGGTCATTCCTCACTGTCACACCCATGGATGCCATATTGATGGCATCTTCCCTTCTCCTTCCCCAAACCACTGGGAGGCAGGGTGGGCCCAGCGCCCCAGTCCCCAATCACCATCTCCACCCCTGACCTCCCAGCAATGGTGCAGAGATGTGGAGGCAGCTGATACTGCGCAAGCCCAGCTGTGATGTCCGAGATCTCCTGGACCTACTCCTGACCAGTCTGAAGGAGAAACCCTTCACCAAGAAGGGCCGGGCCTCCATCGTGCCCCTAGCGGTGAGGACCTGCCTGGCCTACCCTGTGCTCCCCGCTCCTCCCCTCCTGCGAGCTCAGTGCACCCAGCTTCTGGTGCCCGGCTCTGCCAGGAGCTAGTTGTGTAGCTTGGGCACCTCTGTGTCCAGGCTCTTGTTCGTGACCCCCCGGATGGCACCGTGCTGCTGCCTACGGGGATGGCAGTGACCTGGGAGGAGGGCTCCCAGACCTGGGTCTGAGAACTGGCATGGCTATGTTACTAGTTGGGGACCTGAGCAAGTCACTTCGCTTCGCTGAAGCTCAATCCCTGCATCTGTAAATGGAAATGATAATGAGGAAATTTGCCTCATGTGCTGGTTGTGAAGATAAAATGAGGTAACTCTTTCATTTATTTAGTGACCTAAAATTTTTACGTGCTCATCACCAGGCTCCGAGCTCAGTCCTGGGAACACAGAGGGAAAGGGGTCTCTGACTGCAGGAAGGTAGCTGGGTGGAGGGACAGATTTCTTTCTGCCTCTGTCATTGTAGCTCTGGTCCTAGCCAGCTGGATAATACCCCTGCTCCTCTCCCTGCTTCCACTCCAGGCCCTTCAATCTGTACTGCAGCCAAAAAATCTTTGAAAATGCGCATCTGCTCTTCTCAATCCCCTCAATGGCTTCCCATTGCCCTTGAAAATAACACAGTATTCCTACTTGTGTTGCAAGGCCCTGTGCCCTTCTCTGGCCTTAACCACACTCCATGGTCACTCCATGGTCCCTCTTATGTGCATGGCTCCAGCCTTGTTCTATTTTTAAAAAAATTATTTATTTATTTATTTATTTATTTATTTATCTATTCATTCATTCATTCATTCATTGATTCATTCATTCATGAGAGACAGAGAGAGGCAGAGACACAGGCAGAGGGAGAAACAGTCTCCCTGCAGGGAGCCTGATGCAGGACTCAATCCCAGGACCCCAGGATCACAACCTAAGCCAAAGGCAGACGCTCAACCACTGAGCCACCCAGGCGTCCCTCCAGCCTTGTTCTTTGTCAGAAATTCATACATAGTATGCTATTTCTGTTACAGGGCCTTTGCACATGCTGTTCCCTCTCCTGAACAGCTCTCCACTAACCTAACTTCCACTCATGCCTTAGCTCTCAACTGAAGCATCACCTCCTCAAGAAAGCCCTCCCTTATCTCCCTGACATGATCATATCTGTGCATATTACACTTTGCTTCGCATACATTATCTTGGAGGAGTTGGCCCCAGTTGTGATTTGATTTGACAGTAATGTGTGGGGTTTTGAGTAATCTGTGAGATCCATGAATTCAGTGCCTGGACCTGTTTTACTCACCATGCTATCCCCAATACCTAATGTGTACCTGGCAGATAGAGATGCTCAATTTTTTTTTGTTGGACTGATTTATTTATTCAACAACATTAATTGAGCACTGACTATGTACCAGGCACACTCATGAATTCTGGAGATTAGCAAAAAGTAAGACGTTCGGGGGGAGGAAAGCGAAGGAGGTATGGGTGGTATTACCCCTTTACAGAGGGGGACACTGTTGCTTAGTCACATCGTAGGTCTTAGCCAAGGTCACAGAGCTAGTGAATGGTGGCACCATGGCTCAAGCCCAGATAACCTACCTCTGAATCCTGTGCTTCACCATGGTCTCTGAGCCTGTGTTATGAATGAGGAAGATGCAGGATATGAGGCAGTTGGTGTCTGAAAGCCTGGGTTCCAGTCCTAGCTCTACTCCCAAGGGCGAGGTGACCATAGGTAAGTGCCTTCACCCCTCTGAGCATGTCCCCTCAGCTGAACAATGGGATCAAGACTCTACCTCACAAGAGATATGAGAGGAGCCCTCCACCGCATTCTTTCAGGGCTCTGTCAACACCACAAAGAGGCAGGCTGTTGTTCTGGTGTGGGGCTCACCAGGAAAGCCAGGAGTTGGGGTGTGGTGGGGGGTGTAGAGATCTGGGCTCTACTAATTTGAGCCAGAGAATAACAAAGACCTAGGTCCGACCTGCTAGAGAAGCAGTCCAGGCTCCCCCCCAGGAGCCTCCTGCCAGCCTCCCCTCTGTCCCCAGGCAGCCAGCGGCCTGTGTGAGCTCCTGTCGGTCAACAGCTGCGTGGGCCGCGTGAGGCGCATCTACCCCCAGCTTCTCATGGCCCTGCTCATTCAGGTCCATTATCACATTGGCCTCAACCTGCCAGGCCACATGGCTTTCCGCAAGGATACCAAGAAGGACACTCAGCCTTCTGTCTTCGTCCCCGTGCGGTATGTCCTGTTGTCCCTGGCTGGGGAAGGGCCACCTAGCAAGGCCCTTCCTAAAGTCTTTCGGGCAATCCATCGGTAGAAATTAGCTTTGGGACTAAAAGAGGAAACAGAAGCACACTTTCAAGAGAGCCGATAATTTGCTCAACAGCTGTTTGAGAGCACCTGCAGTGTTGCGTGTGTCAGATCTGCCTGGTGCTGGATGGGAGCAAAGAATCAGCCTTCCCCCAAGGAGCTCACAATTTCATATTTCCTCCTCCCTCCTTAGAGATATTATTTGTATTAGATTTGTATCCAAGGCCCACCATTTTATTTTATTATTTTTATTTTATTTTTTAAGTGGACTCCACACAGGGCTTGAACTCAACCCTGAGATCATGACCTGAGCTGAGATTAAGAGATGGACACTTAGGGATCCCTGGGTGGCGCAGTGGTTTGGCGCCTGCCTTTGGCCCAGGGCGCGATCCTGGAGACCCAGGATCGAATCCCACATGGGGCTTCCGGTGCATGGAGCCTGCTTCTCCCTCTGCCTGTGTCTCTGCCTCTCTCTCTCTCTGTGACTATCGTAAATAAATAAAAAAATTAAAAAAAAAAAAATTTAAAAAAAAAAAAAAAAAAAAAGAGATGGACACTTAACTGACTGAGCCACCCAGGCACCCCTTGCCGTTTTATTTTCAATTATTAACCAGTACGTAATAGATGTACATGGGTAAAAATCTCAAAAGACATTAAAAGTGAGTCTCCTTTCCTCTCTTTACCCACTGAGCCTCCTCCAGAAGAGCCAGGTTCTTTCATACCCTTCTACAAGTGGTTTATGTAGAGATAAGCACACATTTATATTTTTATTTTTACACCAATATTAGTGTAATTTGCAGTTATGCACTCTTGCTTTCAGCTTATACTATATCATAGGAGAACATACACATATTGCCATTATGGACAATACTGCAATGAGTTAATTGATATGTCTTTATGCACACACGTGCTTGCACATTAAGGACAAGTTCCTGAACGTAGAATGGGCACATCGATGAGTTTCTGCATGTCAATCTCAAGCTGAGACAGGGATATGTGGCAGAAAGTGCTCTTGATCAGTGAGTGATGAAGGGGAAAATGAAGTACCCCCTAAAGCACCCAGTTTGCCACATGCCCCTCTGCCCCCCCAGAGGTCACTGCATCCAGTAAGATGTGAGAATGGCTGTCTCCTACACCTTTGCCAGCATGATGGAACAGAAGGTGTTTATATCTTTGCTGATCTGAAAGTTGAAAAAAGAAATGCTGTCATTTTAGTTTGCATTTTTTTTATTATGAGTGAAGTTGAGGTTGAAATGTCATTTGTGTTTCCTTTTTTTTTAAGATTTTATGTATTAGAGAGAGAGGGAGAGAGAGAGAGAGAGAGAGAGAGAGAGAGAGAGAGAATGCATGCATATGAGTGGTAGCAGGGAGGGGCAGAGGGAGATGGAGAGAATCCCAAGCAGACTCCCCGCTGAGCACAGAGCCCAGTGCGGGGCTCCACCTCAGGGCCCTGAGATCATGACCTGAGCTAAACCAAGAGTTGGTCCCTTAACCAGCTGAGCCACCCAGTGCCACTGTGTTTCCTTTTCTATGAGCATTGTTTGCCCAATTTTATATAGGACTATTGGGAATTTTTCTTGTTAATTTTTAAGATTTTATTTACTTATTCACGAGAGACACAGAGAGCGAGGCAGAGGGAGAAGCAGGCTCCCTGCATGGAACTCGATGCAGGACTCGATCCCAGGACCCTGGGATCACATCCTAAGCCAAAGGCAGATACTCAACCACTGAGCCACTTAGGCATCCCTTCTTGTTAATTAGCAAGAGCATTTTATATATTAAGGACATTAACTCTTTGTTACTTGTATTCCAGTTTGTCACTTAACTGGTAACTATTTTCTGATCTTTGGCTGTTCAGAAGGTTTAAATTTGTGTATAGTTGAGTTTAGCAGTCTTTCCTTCTTTGGCTTTTTTTTTTCAGAGATTTTATTTATTTGTTCATGAGAGACACACACACAGAGAGAGAGAGAGAGAGGCAGAGACACAGGCAGAGGGAGAAGCAGGCTCCATGCAGGGAGCCCAACGTGGGACTCGATCCCAGGTCTCCAGGATCATGCCCTGGGCTGAAGGCGGCGCTAAACCGCTGAGCCACCTGGGCTGCCCCCTTCTTTGGCTTCTGTTGTGTGCTCTGCTCAGAGAGGTACACTTTGAGGCACTGAGGGCAAGCAGTTGCATAGCTGGGCTTAAGGTCAGAACATCTTGGGTTTGAGTGCTGGTCCCATCATTTATTTAGGCTTTGTATGTTGGCTAAACCACTTTAACCTCTTGGCAGCTTGGTGTTCTTGCCCATGAAATGGGGTAAGTGATTCTTGCCCCAGGGTTCTTTTTTGTTTTGTTTTTAAAGATTTTATTTGTTTATTCATGAGAGAGACAGAGAGAGGCAGAGACACAGGCCGAGGGAGAAGCAGGCTCCCTGTGGGACTCTATCCCAGAACACCAGGATCATGCCCTGAGCCTAAGGCAGATGCTCAACCACTGAGCCACCCAGGTGTTCCCCCACTGGTGTGTTGTAAGGACCAAATAGGACCCTGCATCACAGCGGGACACCACGTGCCAAGTCTGAGCACCTGGCACTCGGGAGGGTGGCACCCTTGGCTCAGAGAGCTGGTGAGTTCGGGGAGAGTAGAGAAGGCGCTAGAGGAGGAGCAAGAGGAACACGAGGTGGCAAAGTCCTCGACGGTTGAGGGATAAAGGGTGTGATCTTTCCGCTCCCAAGACCCCCTGAGTTAGGCCTGGATGAGGGAGCTGGAGAGAGCCCAGTGTCCACCTGTGCAGTGCAGCTTCTGTGCCCTGTGGCAGCCTTGGGCTTTGGTGCAGCTCTGTGTTGGGTCGTTGGCCCCCCATCCCGCAACAAGAGGACCGGGCAAAACTTGCTCCACTTTGCTGGGAAAAGCTGGGGAACTTCTAGGAAGGTGGAGCGCTCGCAGAGTGGGCATTTGAGGGACCCAAAAGACCTGCACCACCACCCACAGCCTTCTTCCCGGCAGTGTCACCTCTGCCTTCTTACAAAGCAGCACAGACCTCATTTGGGGTCTTTGGGAGTGGGTGGGGAGGAAGGAAGATGGGTAGAGTCATTTTTGTAAAAATTTGGAGCCTGATCAAGGAAACGGGGAAGAGAGCAGTGATGTAACTATGATGTGGCTCTGTGTCCAAAAGCGTTGGCCTGATTCTGAGTTCCCCGCCTGGTGCAAACCGGGGTCTGGGTAAAAGCTGCCTGCGACTGTCTGAAACCTTGAAGTCACTTCCTTCCCTGTGGAGTTCCTGAGCTCAGAGCTGTCCCCATGGCAGGCAGAGAGCAAGTGACCAGCTGCTCCTAGAGATGGGGACACACTCAGAGGGGAGGGTGGTCGAGTCACGGAGAACATACGCAGGAGTCTCATGGCTAAAGGTGCTGGTGTTTGACTGGAAGGTCGAATCTTCCTCCTCCAAATGAAAATGCATAAATCTCTGCTTTGCTGTTCAGCCAGTGCTTGGAGTTTTGGGGGTGGGGGAAGGGAGGGCGAGCCTCAGGCTCTTAGGTTGGGCAGCACCTGGAGCCTGCGCCCCTCTCTTCCTTCCTGTGTGTGTGTTTGTGTGACTTTGCTGGTTCAGGACTGTAACTGACAGCACACGTCTCAAAGAATCAGCGCAAAGCTTGCATGGTTCTGAAAGCCCTGGTTTCAGTAGAAGCTTGAATTTTCACACTGGATCAGTAGTCATTACAAAACCCAAGACATGAAAATTAAAAGCAAATTCTTGAACATCACCTGATCTCTAAAATGCTTTGATGCTTTTTCTTGAATCACGAGAACCACCAACTCTCAGTATCTCCTGAGGCACGTCCATACGTTATAAACTCTTTAAACGAGGGCTTACATTTCTAGAAAACTTTGTTTAAATGTAAGCTTCATTTCACACATTGCCCAGTTTTTTTTTTTGTTTTTTTTTTTTAATTTTTTTAAATTTATTTATTTATGATAGTCACAGAGAGAGAGAGAGAGGCAGAGACACAGGCAGAGGGAGAAGCAGGCTCCATGGACTGGGAGCCCGATATGGGATTCGATCCCGGGTCTCCAGGATCACGCCCTGAGCCAAACATTGCCCAGTTTTTAAAATATTTTATTTATTTATTCATGAAAAACACACAGAGAGAGGCAGAGACCTAGGCAGAAGGAGAAGCAGGCTTCCTGCAGGCAGCCTGATGCGGGACTTGATCCCAGGACCCCGGGATCATGACCTGAGCCAAAGGCAGCCTCTCAACCACTAAGCCACCCAGGCACCCCTGTCCATTTTCATTTCATTTTATTTTTAAAAATATTTTTATTTATTTATTCATGAAAGACACACACACACAGAGGCAGAGACATAGGCAGAGGGAGGAGCAGGCTGCATGCGGGGACCCCGTTGTCGGACTCGATCCTAGGACTCCAGGATCATGCCCTGAGCTGAAGGCAGGTGCTAAACCGCTGAGCCACCCGGGGATCCCCCCTTTTCATTTTAATAAAGGGATACACACACACACACACACACACACCTGTGGACACCCGGCACTGTGCCGAGAACACAGCAGGGCATCAGCTGGTAGCTGTCCCTCCTTCTTGCTCCTTCACAGCAAGGCTGCTCAAGCTGACCCGAAGCTCCTGGTTTCCAGCCTCATGAATCCATGGGTTGTGAAAGCTCCCCCTACCTCCCACCTGCACTGCCCCCAGGGTTGCTGTTGTGTATCCAGGTTGGGGGATCCCTCCTTAAGTGCCCTGAGAGGGTAAAGGACTCAGGCCAACAGGAGATTGTGTACAAGTGAGTGGGGGTGGGGAGGCTGCCCTGCAGGGAGCTGCCCTGTCAGGAGCATGAAGGGGAGAGGAGGGGAGAGAGAGGCAGGCCCAGGGGCTGGGGGGCTGCTGGGGACACCTGGCTCTGACCCCTCCCTCCAGGGAAGAGGCTCAGAAGAAAAGGGAGGGTAAAGCACCATTTGGGGGAATTTTGCTTCTGTTTACTCTCTCAAAGCTAATAAGTTTTAAAAACTTATTAAAAAGCCGCTTTTTGCGGGTACACTGGTGACTACTACCTAATGATCAGCAAGGCCCAGAGAAACTTTTGTGGCCAGATTGGAGCTGATGATGGGAGAGGCCGGCTGGAGGGAGGCCCGGCCCACGGAAGCCAGGGCCATGAGGTCTCAGCCCCCTTGTCTTGGCAGCTGGGTGGTCAAAGTGGTGAAAACCCTGCTGCTGAGGATGGGCTGTTCGTATGAGGCTACCTTTCTGGAGGACCAGGGCGGCTGGGAGCTCATGGGGCAGGCGGAGAACCACCACCGAGGAGTGTCCCTGCTGGCAAGGTGAGGCTGGGGCTGCGGGGGCAGAGGTGGGGGGAGGGAGAGTCGTCAGCAAGGGAGAGACTCGGGTTTGCACCTGTCTCTGGGCAAGACCTTTGCCTCGGCCCATCACCTCCTCTAAGTGGGGGGGGAGGGGAGGGTAGCGTTCAACTCGGTGGGTGGACACGCTCTGTGGACGCTCACAGGCCATAACAGTGCCTGGCAACCGCAGAGCACTCAGCTTACATACGAAGCACCTTTTCTCGCTGCATTAGGACTTAGTTCCTATACTAATACAGACGTGGTGGTGTAGTGAGTAGTTTATAGTGTGGCCCTGGAGCTGGGCTGTCTGGGTCTGAATCCCAGCTCACCACCTCTCAGCTGTGTGACTCAGGGCCAGTTCCTGTCCCTCTCTGGGTCTCAGGTTCCCCCCACCCTCCGCCCTGCCCTGCTCATGTGGAAATAATAATAGGAGCCATCTCCAGGGTTTAGGATAAGGGTTGAAATACTTTGAACAGCTCCTGGTATATGGGAAGGGCTCAGCACAGGTTAGCTTCCACTGCATTTTGCTGACTGGTGGAGCAGGGGTTACCAGCACAGCAGGATGCCAACCAAGTTCCAGAGAGGGACAGCTATGTACGAAAGGTCACACAGCCAGGAAGAGGCAGTGCTGGGAGATGACCTGCTGACCCAGACCGGGGCTCTTCCCTTTGCCACTATACACAGCCTCCTGTAGGGTCGGGAAGGGGGACCTCGATTTTGACAATGTGGCTCCTGCAGGGATCTCAGGATACAATTGCATTTATTGAGCACCTACTATGCTCTAGGCACCATGCAAAGAGCTATATGCTCTGTGCTCCTGGGCAAGCTTTCCCACTCTGAGCCTCAGGTTCCCCGTCTATAAAACAAAGCAGTTAAACTAGATGGCCTCTGAGATCCTCTCCAGGTGGGAAATCCTGGGAACCCAGGACCCCAGGTGCCCCTGACTTGCTCAGAGGTTAGAGTGTCAGATCAGACCCCCCCCCCTTCCCCAGCAGGTCCCCTGGGACGGGAGAGCCTGAGGGGACTGCTCACCCTTCCTCACTCCCAGGGCCATGGTGCACTACTCCTGCCAGGAGCTATGCCGCATACTGTACCTGCTCATCCCACTCCTGGAGAGAGGCGACGAAAAGCACAAGATCACTGCCACCGCCTTCTTTGTGGAGGTACCGAGGGGCAGCAGGCATGGGGTGAGGCTCCTCCTCCCCAGGCCCTGGAGCATGGGCCTCAGTTTATATTCCTGGTCATTTCTCCTGTGCAAACAGTACTTAAGAATGGAGAGTTTCATGGGCCTGGGTGCTCTAGAACATACAGACCTCATAGGGTCTCCCTTTGCTCCTCCTGTCTCCACTCCTTCCAGACTCCCCTCCACGCCCAGGTAACCCCCAGCCTTGGCTGGGCACTGCCTTGTGCCGAGCACCAGATTAGAGATGCAAGGTTGGTGATACAAATATGAAATCGACTATGCCCAGTCCTCAGGGGATTCTCAGTGTGTCAGGGAAGCCAGAGGACACCCTAGTTATAACATGGGGTGCCAGGGAGTGACTTGTGTTCTGATGGGAGCAGTTTAGGCCGCGGTGGGAGAACAGGAAACTTGAGGTGGTGGTGGTGGTGTGGTGGTGGTGGTGGGAGCATCATGGAGGGCTTCCTGGAGGAAGCAACATGTAAGCTGAGTTGAGTGCATAGAGGGTACTAGGGAAGGTGCTGGGAAGGATGACTCAGGAGGTTGGTTAGGGTCAGAGCCAGAAAAGGAGACCCACCAGCGATAATAGCTAACATTTACTGAGCACTTACCATCTTCCAGGCACAGTCTTAAGAGTTTTACACATAGTGATTCATTGAATCCTCATAATAATCCCATGATGCAGATGCTATTTCATCCCCCACTTTAGAGGAGGAAACTGAGGCACAGATTTGAGTCAATTTTCCAACACCACACAGCTTGTTAGGGGCAGACTCAGAATTCAAACCCAGACTCCTGGGTTCTCAAACCCAATCTCTCCTTCCCTGCCTCTCTCTGTTTAGTTTAGAAAAAAATGTGGTAAAATATACATAACATAAAAGTTAACCATTTTAGGGGCACCTGGGGGGCTCAGTCAGTTGAATGTCCAGCTCTTGGTTTTGGCTCAGGTCATGATCTCGGGGTCCTGGGGTTGAGCCCCGTGTCAGGCTCTGCCTAGTGTGCAGTCTGCTTGTCCTCCTCCCTCCTCCCTTCTCTCTCTCCCTCCCTCTCTCCCTCTCTCTCTCTCTGTCTCTCAAATAAATAAAATCATTAAAAATAAGTTACCCTTTTCGCCATGTTTACGTGGACATCCCAGGGGCATGATGTACCCGCACACTACGTGCAGCCAGCAGCACCATCCACAGAACTGCTCATCTTCCTTCCCAAGTGCAGCTTCTGTCTCAAACTGAAACTGTATTCATTAAACACAACCTCCCAAAAAAATAAACACAACCTCCTGTTCCGCCTCCCCAGCCCCTGGCAACCAACTTTCTACTCTGTCGCTATGAACTTGGCCATTGTAGGCTTCACGTAAGTGGAATCCACATAAGTGGAATCATATAATATTTGTCCTTTTGTGTCTGGCTTATTTCTCTCAACATTATGTCTTCGAGGCTCATGCGTGACGTTAACAGGGCTCAGAATTACATGTTTTTTTTAAGGCTGAATAATATTCCCTTGTATGTATACACCACACTTGGTTTATCCATTCATCTGTCGCTGGATGCTTGTAAAACCCACTGTCCCAACAACCACTCTTCCCGTCTCTCCTGACCTGCTGGTTGTCATGCCCGGGTCTGCGCTATCATCAGGGTCTGCAGTGTGGGGTTCAGAGGTAGGAGGCTTACTTTCTGCTCAGAAAGTGGAAGGTTAAGGAAGGCTTCCTGGAGGAGGTGCCATCTGAGCTGGGCTTTGACAGGTGAGTAAAGTCCGTGAGATGGACAGGAGGCAGCAAGGCCCTCTGGGCATTTCCTGCATCTCTCCTGCCTCGCTAGCTGGACTGTGAGTCTGCAGAGGAGGGACCATGTCGTGTTTGCATTACATCCCCGGCCCTGAAAGCTCCCTAAGAAGTAAGGATTGGATGGATGAGTGAGTCGCCCAGAGGAACACTTGGCCTGGCCCCGCTAGGACCAGTAGAAGGTGTCACCTCCAGGAGGACAAGCTTGGTTCTTGGGGTCAGGCGTCCTAGGTTCTGGCCCCAGCTCTGCCAGGTTCTAATTTCCTCGATGGACCTGGTGAGGGAAAGGTAATGTTCTGTTTCTAGAGGACCTGAGATATCCCAAACACTGTGCTGACCTCTTTCACATGTCACCCCTGGATTTGCACAGTGTGGTGTTGAAAACAAGGCTGCTTCAAGATCCTACCACACAGCTCAAGGGATCCAGAGGGATCCAGAGAGACTCTGGCTAGGTGTGCTTGACTGGATCTTCTTTTCTTTTCTCTCTCCTTTTTTTAAGATTTTATTTATTTATTTGAGAGAGTGAGAGAGAGAGAGCACAAGCAGGGGCAGGGGGCAGAGGCAGAGAGAGAAGCAGACTCCCGCTGAGCAGGGAGCTCAATGCAGAGCTCGATCCCAGGACCTTGGGATCATGAGCTGAGCCAAAGACAGACACTTAACCGACTGAGCCATCCAAGTGTCCCTGGATCCTCATTTCTGCTCACCCACTTCTCTCTAAGTGGTTCTTGGGGGAGACAGTGGAGGTTGCACCTTGCAGACCCCAGGGGAGGTTCCCATGTCCACTACAAGGTCAGGGGCACTAGGCTTAACCTTAGGGCCATTGCTCAATGTTCTCCTGGAACTCTGAGCAGTGGCCTTCCTCCCTGCAGCAGTGTCCTCAGCCAGCTTCAGTCCTTCTCCCACTCCTCAAAAGAGGGGGGCTACTCTTGGTCAGAGCCACTCCCCCACATTCACTGTGGTACCTTTTTTTTTTAATTTTTATTTATTTATGATAGTCACACACACACACAGAGAGAGAGGCAGAGACACAGGCACAGGGAGAAGCAGGCTCCATGCACCGGGAGCCCGATGCGGGATTCGATCCCAGGTCTCCAGGATTGCACCCTGGGCCAAAGGCAGGTGCTAAACCGCTGCGCCACCCAGGGATCCCCTCACTGTGGTACCTTGACGTAGCTCGCATATCCTGCCCACCCAGGCTTCCCCAGCTGCCTGTGCTGTGATTGTCTATGTGTGTGCTGCTTCTCCCAAAGGCAGGTGAACTCAAGGGAGCTGTGTGATGTTGGCAAGTCGCAGAACCTGCCGTGTCTCAGTTTCCTCACTTGTAATGTGGGGATACTGAATTGCCCACCTCATAGGATTTTCTTAAAGATTTATTTATTTTAAAGGGAGAGTGAGAGAGAGAGAGTGCCTGTGGGGGGGGGGGGAGGGGCAGAGGGAGAGGGAGAGAGAGAATTTCCAGGAGACTTCCTGCTAAATATGGAGCCTGACATAGGGCTCAATCCCACGATCCTGAGATCATGATCTGAGCTGAAATCAGAAGTCAGACACTTAGCTGACTGAGCCATCCAGGCTCCCCTAGGGTTTTGATGAGGATTAAATGAGTTCATATAAAGCTCTTAGGATAGTGTCTGCACCTAGGAAATACTGTCTGTGAGTAAGCTATGTTGCTATTATTATTTCTTTTTTTCTTTTTTAAAAGATTTTATTTATTTATTCATGAGACACAAAGAGAGAGAGAGAGAGAGAGAGAGAGAGAGAGAGAGAGAGAGAGGCAGAGACACAGGCAGAGGGAGAAGCAGGCTCCAGGCAGGGAGCCCGACACAGGACTCAATCCCGGGACCCCAGGATCACGCCCTGGGCCAAACGCAGGCTCTAAACCACTGAGCCACCCAGGGATCCCACTATTATTATTTCTTATCATCAGTACTCTTTTCTGCATCTCTAGTGTGTAGCCTGGTGCAGAGCAGGCCCGAGTATCAGTTGTATGATGGGTGGAGGATGGGCCCAAGGTGGAGCCCCTCCTCTACTGCCTCCTCCCCCTCTGGGCCACCCCCTGCCTTTCTCCCCAGCTCTTTCTCCTCATCATACCCACACGGGGTCTCAATAGTCACACTAGAGGTAAGACCACACAGATAGGAGAAGTGTTTATGAGGATGACCAGGCAAGAACTAAAAACCAGTTGGTTGTCGTGGGTGGAAGATGGGGGGGAGGGGAAGGAGATGGGGTGATGTCTGGTTTGGCTAGAACAATGGGGTGTGGGGGGAGCTGGTGGTGCTAAACCCAGCCATGAGAGCATAGGAGGAAGGGCAAGTCTAGGGAGGAAAGGAACCAAATTTCACATTGGGCCTGAACTCATGCACCAAAAGTGTTCCATAAGCATATACTCTACCCCAGAGCTTGTGTCAGTCACAGGGACCCTGGGAGAAACGCTCAGCGTGTGTCTTCAAGGAAGCCCCAGTGGGATGGAGGAGGCAGACACATGAGCAGATAGGGGCACTCAGGTTTGCGTGGTCAGGGCTCCCAGGGGCCCAGAGAAGGGGGCAGTCCACCTGGTGAGGCCTAGGGGCGTTGTCAAACATGGCTTCAAGGGGGGCCGAGTTTTAGAGGGAGCCAGGCAGTGAGTAGGGGCTGGAGTGGAGGTGAGAACCCTGCCAGCACAGAAAGGACAAAACAGCCTGGGGCATTCCACAAACAATGGGCCACTTGGGGAGAAGCTGGCTGGGGTGTAGGGTGGGCATGGAGTGAATGAAGTCCCAGGGGCAAGCAGGGCCCAATGGTGAAAAGTGGGGTGAGGGTGGCACGGAGGCTCTGAGCTGGACAGTGACATGTTCAGCCTTGCTGTGAGGTGCTGACGGACATCAAGTGGACATGTCTGGCCCACTGTTGGTTTTCGGATTGGGAAGCTCTGGACAGCAGCACAGACGAGAGATGGTGACTTGGGTGTCACATGCCTGGGGACAGCAGTTAAAGTCCTGGGCAGAGCTCATCGAGAACAGTGGGCAGAGGGAAGCCAGGCGGAGAGGACAGCCTTCAGCATCACCCAGGCTGATGGCTGGAGAGGCAGAAGCCAGGGGCTGTCACCAACTAGAGCAGTGCCATGGAACATGAGAGCCACTAGCCACGTGGGGCCTATTCAGCCTCTGAGATGTGTCTGTCTGAACTGAAATGTGTTGTAAGTTTAAAATTCACGCCACGTTTCAGACTTGGTTCAAAAAAAATTTTTATAGAGTGTAAATAAAATATATCAATAATAATTTTTAATTTGATTACATAGCAAAATGATAATACTTTGGATATATGGGGTTGAATAAGATGCATTACTGACAATTACTGACATTAATTTCACCTTTTTTTTTCTTTTTTAATGTGGCTCCTAGAAAATTTAAACTTAGGCCCGTGGCTTGCCTTGGATGGCACTAACCAGATAGCCATCATTCATGTCCCACACTCAGCCCCTGGCCATCCATTGCGTACTCCTAGTGCCTGGGGAGACCAGGGAGGGGGTGTATGTGTGGGGGGTTGCCCTGCCCCTCGACTCAGGAAGTAATTAGTAATTACTGTGACTCCTTCAGCTCCTTCAGATGGAGCAGGTGCGGCGGATCCCAGAGGAGTACTCTCTGGGGCGGATGGCAGAAGGCCTGAACCACCAGGACCCCATCATGAAGGTGCTGTGCATCCGAGGCCTGGTCATCTTGGCCCGCAGGACTGAGAAGGTGAGCAGAGGGCAGAGGAGAGCCTGGCCTAGCCAGGCCTGGAGCTGGAGGAAGGAGGGAGCTTGGTCATCACAGACTCTCGGATGCTGGAATCCGTTTCTGTCTCTGCCTCGGTTGCCCCATCTGTAAAGAGGATAGCCTTTTATAATTCCCTATACACTTTCTTCTTCTTTGTTTTTTTTTCAAGATTTTATTTATTTCAGGGAAGGAGAGAGAGAGCACCCAAGCAGGGGGAGGTGCAGAGGGAGAAGGAAAAGAAGGAGAAGCAGGCTCCCCACTGAGTGTTGGAGGCCGACAAGGGGCTCAATCCCAGGACCCTGTGATCAAGACCCAAGCAGAATGGGGCAACTGGGTGACTCAGTGGTTAGGTGTCTGCCTTTCGCTCAGGTCATGATCCCTGGGTCCTGGGATTGAATCCTGCATCGGGCTCCCCACAGGGAGCCTGCTTCTCCCTCTGCCTGTGTCTCTGCCTCTCTCTGTGTGTCTCATGAATAAATAAATATATATATATAAAAAAAAGGCCTGAGCAGAAGGCAGACACTTAACCGACTGAGCCATTTAGGTGCCCCAGACTTTATTCTTTTTGAAATAGTTTCTAATCCAATTTTTTCACAATAACCCAGAAGGCAGTATGTATACAAGGGGTTGGGGATGGCAGTAATTATTCCTGTTTTACAGATTAGGAAACTGAGGCCCAGATTGTTGGTGCATCTTAACCGTTTTTTAAAGATTTTATTTATTTATTCATGAAGAAATACAGAGAGAGAGAGGCAGAGACATAGGCAGAGGGAAAAGCAGGCTCCATGCAGGAAACCTGATGCGGGACTCAATCCCAGAACCCCAGAATCACACCCTGAGCCAAAGGCAGATGCTCAACTGCTGAGCCACCCAGCCATCCCCATATTAACATTTTTAAAAGTGCTTTGTGTTCCCCTACCAGACACCATTGCAGCTCCTGGCATAGAGGGACAAACGGGCAGGATGTAGACTTAGAAAGTTAACTAACAATGCAGATCATCTACCTGGTGCCAACAGGGGCGTGGCAGCCAAGGGCCTCAGGTTCTCAGGTGTCCAGACCAGGAAGGAGTTAGTGAGGCCAAAGAGGACTTTGGGGACAGCAAGAGCTTGAGTGAAGACCTTCCAGGCAGGTGGGATGGCATAACCAAGGGCCTGGAAGTGGCACCTGCCCCAAGTTCATCTCAGTGAATCAGAAGCTGGGGATCCCACATGTCGGGCCCTGCCATCAGGTAGAAGCCCACATCCCAAATGGTCCTGCCCCACAGACTGCCAAGGTACAGGCCCTCCTGCCCTCCATGGTGAAGGGGCTGAAGAGCATGGATGGGCTGCTGGTGATGGAGGCCGCCCACAACCTCAAGACCATCTTGAAGGGGCAGGACCGGAAGCTGACGGACAGCTCCGTCTATGTGGAGATGCTGCAGATCCTGCTGCCACACTTCAGCGATGTAAGGGATCTCATGGGGGTGGGCGTGGGGGTGGGGGGCAGCCTATGGAGGGTGGCTCTTCACTACTCTGGGGGCTGTCATAGCTCCCGTGGCCCACCGAGGCAGGGCCAAACTCAGTCAGCCCAGGGGAAGGGACGTTTCGTTCCAACTGACGCATGTCTTTTTGTAAGTGGTTTGCACAGAGAAGGATCCTTTTATAATCAAGGTTCCCCGGACACCTACCTCATTGCAACCGACCACCTAGAGGGGGCACACATTTTTGACTGGGTCTGGCAAGGGGGGTGCATTTTTCCACTTGGCATTAAGGCACCTTTTAGGTGAGCAGGGTTTACCTGGCTGGGAGAAATGGGCAGAGCTCTGGACCTAGGCTCCAGTGAGGGGGGACACTGGCCCGAGGTCACCCCACTCTAGGTGGCCTCTTCTCTGCTCCATCTCTGTGCCTCTTGTGCCTGGAGGCCTCCCTCCCCCCAGAATGAGTGGAAGGAAGGCTGTGTGCCTCCATGGGGGGCTCAGAGGCAGCCTCCTGGAGGAGAGAGCATGCCTCAGCCTCTGGATCTGCCCCAGTCACGAGAGGACGTGCGCTCCTCCTGCATCAACCTGTACGGCAAGGTGGTCCAGAAGCTGCGGTCGCCCCGCACCCCAGCTGTGGAGGAGCAGCTGACCAGCACCTTGGTGCCCTTGCTGCTGACCATGCAAGAGGGCAACGCCAAGGTGAGCCAGGTGAGTGTGTGCAGGCGCCGGGCCCTGTGGCCGAGCCTCACTTTATGGAAACCAAGCCAGCGTCACTGACAATCTGTTATGGACAAGCCTGTTTGCCAAAGGCAGCCGTGTCCGAATCCCTGCTCAAAGGGAACAACGTCACTTGTGCATTTCAAATAGGAACTGATTTTTCCCAAATTCAGTTTCACGAAACTTTGTCTCCCCTGGAATATGTTCCGGCTGTCCTGGAATTCCCCAGCTCTTGTACTCTCTTCCTGTTGGCCTCCAGAAATGTATGAAGACCCTGTTCCACTGTTCTTGCTTCATGGCATGGGAATTGCCGAAAAGAGCTTATGGCCAGAAGTCCTGGGACAACCAGCAGCAGACGGTGGCCAAGATATGCAAGTACCTTGTGAGTGCTTTTGAAACTGCAGTGGTTCCCAAGGAGTGTGTTGGAGGTGGGCGATGCTTTCCCCCTTTCTCTTCCTTCTTGCACAAGCATCCTGACTGGCAATTCCACTGCTACCAACACATTGATGGGTCCTGAACGTTCATCTGCATTTCTAGCTTCTCACTTCTAGTGTCCCTCTCCAGTGGCTTACCGGACACCTTCCCACTGAACCACACGCACTTCAGCTTATGGCCTTCGCATTTCAATTCTGCTCTGTCCCTCTAGATGCCCAAAGCAGAAACCTAGAATTATCTGAGTCTCTATCTCCCTCACCTTCCACGGTCGATCAATCTTAAATATCCTAACCATTTCTGCGTCTGCTTTTTTCCCTCCCTGTCCTCAGTGTCCCTGCCCTTAGTTTAGGGCACTAATGTCTCCCAGGCGGGCCATGGATCCATCCACTCCCTGGCTCTCTCTGCCTTGAATTTCATCTCTCCCCATCCCATCCCATCCCCACTTGGGTCACCAGAGCCACAAACATGAGTCTGTCTGTGTCACAGCCCTGCTTTAAGAGCTTTATTCCCTTTTCTGCATCAGCAATTCCCAGGCTGAATTCTCTGAGACACCCATCCCACAGGAAATGCCCCACAGAGGAGAAAAGGGGTTCTAAGATGAATAAGTTTGGGAAACACTGCCTCACCATCTTCCTCCTGGGGATTTTCAAGGCCACCAGCTCATTAAAGGCTCTGAAATGTTCTATGCTGAGATGTTCCATGGCTGTTGAATCCATGGTTTCCCAAACTTATTTAACCACCAAACTCCTCTTTTCAGGTAACACCTGAGGGCATCCTGGGGTAGGAGCAGGCCACCAACATGCCATGGCACGCATGCTAGAGGGTTTGCCACCTAGTCCCCTCTACCTCCCCTGCTGTCACAGCCTCCTCAGGATGCAAACTCAAAGAAAGGGATTAGCATGTAGGGGGTTTATTAGGGTGCAGCATTGGGGTCGACAACCCCATGTCCACTTGTTACTGGATGCCAGCCACCCTGGGAAGGGACTTGACTTTGGGCCAGCAGTTCTGTTCCTTGGAGGCAGTCCCCAGCGTTAGGGGACTAATCCTTCCCACTGGAGGGAGATCTGGGTGGGGCATGCCAGCACTCACAACACCAATCTCATGAAAATATGCAAGGTAACCGATTGTTCCTAGGATTCAGAAGAGGGGCTGGACACTACCATTTATCAGTAATACTTAAGACCTCTGCACTCCGGGGTCTAGTATTATTACCATCATTTCACAGACAGTAGAAGAGGCCCAGAGGAGGCATTTGGCACTAATTGAAATACCTACAGTGACCAGGGACTGGGCGGAGGATAATCACGGGTGATGTGGAAGTGGTGGGACCTGTGTCAACCTAAAAGGGCCTAGGCCCTGTTAAAAGCATGAGAGGGTCCTCTGCTTTCACAAGAAAAGCCACAAACCCAGATTTTTATAAGACATTAATTAGCAATCAATTTAGCTTGTTGAAAACACTGTGCTGGTCATTGCTCCGCCAATGACTTGTGGTTTGTGGGCTGCCGGCTTGTGATGTCTACGTTAGACCCCTCTAGATTCTGTTTCTGCTCTTTCCAGCATCAACAGGTTTGCTCATGTGAAGGTCAACTTCTAGCTTTAGCTTTAAGGAGGGGGCGGTAACCCATTCATCCATCCATCCATCCATCCATCCAATGCTTTCTGGGCATCTCTGCCACACCAAGCTTTGTCCAGGATACTGAGGACTCTGAGCTGAGTGAGCTGGTGCCTTCTCTTGGGGGAGCTCTGGATCCTGTGGGGGAGATAGGTATAAATAATCAGAGTGCAATGTCATAGGTGACATGACAAGAGCTGTGCAAGATGCTATAGGAACATGCAGCATGGTGAGAGCAGCTCTATCCAAGAGTTGAGAAAGGCTTCAGAGAGGAGGTGGCTTCTGAGCTGAGCCTCAAGGGATGAGAGATACATCAGATGAAGAAGAGAGGGATGGGCAGGCCCATCAGGAGCAATTGCTTGTACCAGGCACAGATCTGGGGAGAGCCAGGCCACATCCTGGCACTGGAGCTCAGTGTGCATAGAGGTAGAGCCATTGGTAGAAACTGAGGCTGAGGAGCATGATCATGAGGGCTTTGATGCCAGGACTAGAGTTTACTCACTGATGTGCAGATTGTCAACTGGAGAGTAATCATATCAGATTCTTCTTTATTTCCCTCAACAATGCCTGTGTCCTAGTTTTTCCTTGATCAAACCCATCCTGAACACCACTGTCAGACTATGTTGCCCCAAACATTGCTTTGTCATTGCTCTATCAAGAAAGGCTCCTGGCTTCCTATTTTCCAATGCATAAGTAAGCCTTATTCCTGTCTGGCTCTTAAGGAATTTTAGGACCTCTCTAACTCTCCAGTTTATTCTTCACTGCTCTGTAACTTGAATTCTTCACCCTGATCAGAGCTGACTCCTTATCTATCATGTCCCTTGCATACCATGTCCATTCTTACTTGGCCAGACTTTTTATTTTAGAACTTTCCTTTGAGCAGCAGCAGGGGGTGGCCTGGCAGGGGATGCACCCAAGGCAGGAAGACGACGGAAAGGATTGTTACAATCTGCAAAGAGAAGAAGAAGCCAGGGCTCTGGGGGCCTCAGGCAGAGAGGCCAGGATGGGTGGCAGAGAAGTTTAGGAGGCAAGGGGCCAGGGCTTGGCTGCCTTAGGGGTCACCGTTCCTACTTCTGGGAAGGGTGGATGGGCAGTTAGTACCTCTGAGGAGAGCTCAGCACTCTTGGGCTTTCTCTTTGTCTCAGGTGACTACCCACCAGGACAGCGCCTTCACATTCCTCAGGCAGAGCCTGGAGTATGCCAAGAGTTCCCGGGCCTCCCTCCGGAAGTACTCAGTCATGTTCATAGGTAACCTATCAAAACTAGTTTTGCTGCTGGGACTCTGCCTCCTGTCCATTTTGCTTCCTCCCCTTGGAAGGAAGCTGCCAGTCCTTCGGGCGCCTGGGAAACACCTCCCCTTGGGTATGAGGTTTGCCAGCAGATAGCAGTTCAAATTGGAAAAGTCTTCCCTCCTTTAAGAAACCTGCTTGGGAAGTGGGCCCCAAGGTGGATCCAGCCTGAAGTCCTTGTGCAGGTCACAACCTTGGCAACTGTACACAGCGGAACCGCTGCTTCCCGCCCCCAAGCCCCAGTGCAGCATGGGTCCAGGCCCAGTGGGAGCCTACCATTGACTGTGTCAGGAGGGGCCAAGCTGTGCAGTAGAAAGAGTGAAATAGAATCTCAGCTCCACGGAGTTATTTACTCCTGTAAAATGGGGATTAGCTCCTGTTTCACAGGTCAGAGAAGAATATTTTTTAAAAATGTGAAGCCTGGCTAGTCAAGGTGCTCCCTAAAGGTGCTCATGGTGCTCACACCATGTTTCCTGTAATTTCAACCTCTGCCTTTCTGGGGGAAAAACAACTAGATTCCCCTCAGTCAGAATCCCCTACTTCATCCCAGACCCTTCTGATGGCATGTGGGGATGTCTCCTCCCGGCTACTCCCCTCCCCTCCCCTAACAACCACACACTCTTAACCAGGACTAGGAGACCCCGCTGCAAAGAAGCTTGGAGAGGATGACATTCCCATCCCTACTTTTTTTTTTTTTTAAGATTTTATCCATTTATTCATGAAAGACACACACACACACACACACACACAGAGAGAGAGAGAGAGAGAGAGAGAGAGAGAGAGAGAGAGGTAGAGACACAGGCAGGGAGAGAAGCAGGCTCCATGCTGAGAGCCCAATGTGGGACTCGATTGCAGGACCCCAGGACCATGCCCTGTGTCAAAGGCAGGCGTTAAACCGCTGAGCCACCCAGGGATCCCTCCATCCCCCACTTTGAAAAGTGATGCTTCTTTTAGTTCCTTTCCCCGATTCATTTGTGGTTTGCTTCAGTCCAGTCACCCACACACCCATTCATTGGTTCAGTTAGCAAATGCTGCTTGATGCTCCACTCTATGTCAGGTACCATGTCTAGTGTAGAGAAACAGAGAAGTCTTCTGGAGGTGATGTGGATATCTAGCGTAGGGCTGGGGTGGGGATGTATGTGCTGTTAACATGCTCCAGGCAGGGACAGAGTAGCAATGCCCAGGGCTGGGGGCATCCCTCAGACTGTGGGGGGGGGGGCCTGCTCAGAGGCAGCTTCTCACACAGAGTGACATTATCTCCTAGATTTGGACATTTCTAAATCTTGCTCCAAATTAATCATATCTAAAAGTGTTCGTATTTAACACTTGAGTCTGTTCTCTGTGCCAGGGGCCTGTGCTTGGGAAACCAGGCAGAGGAGAGGACGCATCCACCCCCAGCACAACCCCAGGCCTGGTGCAGTGACTTCTAAACTCTTGTGGGTTTATGAAATCCTGAAAAAGTTATGAACACTTTCCCTAGAAAAATGCATCCATGCAGACAATTGTGCTTGTGATTTAAGATCCTCAGAGACTGCCCTCCCCACTTTCCCACCCCGAGTGGAGCTAAGCTTGGGACCCTGGGTCTGGTGGGAGATATTCATAAGTCACGAAGTACATCACAGTATATACAGACGGAGAAACTCAGACCCTCTGGGAACCCAGAGAGGCACCTAACCTAGTGTGGGCATAGGGTCAGGAAGGATTTCCTGGAGAAGTAATATGTTAAGCTGAATAGTCAAGGATGAATAGAATGAGTGAGGGAGAGAAATGTGGGAAGGGCCTCACAATAGGAGAGATGTCTGGCCTGGTGGGTTCAAGGACCTGCAGGTGCTTTGGGAGCCAGGCATGCAGGCATGGAGCAGGGGAGGGCTGAGTGTGGTGGAGGAGCAGAGTCTCAGGCCCTCCAGGGGTCCATCAACCACCTGCCTGAGAGGTACATGAAGCACTCCATGTCCTTCATATTAATGCTGCTCCAACTTTCTGGAGGAGGGGGCAGTTAGGGCAACACCTCCCCAAGTCTCAGATGAGGACATTAAGGGCCAGCCTCGGACCACCAATGGCCACATTGTCACAGTCAGCTGTAGCCGAGATCCTGTCCCTGTCCTGGCACCATCCCTGCCCTCTGGGCCTGCCAACGTCTCCTGGGACCCCTCTTGGGGAACCTGTCCCAGAGTTAAAAGGAAGTTCTCCTTCAATGTTCTCATTCATGAGACTCAAGTTGGATGGGAGAGCTTCTCTTAGGAGGTCTGGTCTGTGGGCGGGGGTCGGGGTCAGGAGGTGGAGGCACTCACCTCTTGGATTACACTCAAGGGTCCCTGGTCCCTTTCATGGAGAGCATAATGACAGAAGACCGTCTGAACGAAGTGAAAGCAGGTAAGTCATATCCTACATCTTTGAGATCTCAGGGGCCAATGAGAGGATGAGTGGGCTCAGAGTGGGTGACAGGGGACAGAAGGCAAGTGGCTTCAGCTCAGTCCAGCTGCACTAGTCTTTATCCACAGCGAGTAGGGTTAAGGGGTCACCAAGACAGCATATACCACCCCAGCCCAGGGGAGGTTACAGTCTAGGGAACCAGGCTAGAAAACAAGCCCCAAACCATTTAGTGCAGGGCCAGCAGTTCAGACTCTTACTGGAGGCAGATTAATTTTGTAACTGGGAAAACTAATGGGAGCATGAGGCTGGGGCAGTCCAAGAAGGCTTCCTGGAGGAGGCAGGTTTTGATTCAGGCTTCAAAAGGCAGGCACAGTTTGAAGAGCTGGGAGGAAGGAAGGTGAGATGAGGGGATACTAAGCAGAGTGCCTAAGCCAAGGCACAGAAGTGAGAAGGAGGGATGAGCTGTGAGATCCATGTGGGGGCCTGGTCTTAAAAAGTGGCCTTTCCCCTCCCCATGACCCAGCTCTGGAAGACCTGAGACACGACCCAGAAGCATTGGTGTGCATCTACGCAGCCCAGGCCCAGGACCACATCCTGGCCAGCTGCTGGAGGAACTCCTGGCCACTGCCGCACGGGGACTCGTGGGTTTGCGACCCGGTCACCCCGGTCACCACGCACCGCTGGAGCCCTAGCTGTGAGAACCTGCCCACTTCCCACCAGCGGCGCTCCTGGATCATGCAGCTGCTGGGCTCCTGGAAGATGTCCTTGAAGCAGTGATGTCCCTGAGCCCCCAGCCCTCCTCAGGGGCGGCCACGGCCACAGCCATGCCCCCTATAAATGCCACGTGGCTTACCTCTCCCCCTGAGTGTTTCCTCCTGGGAGGCGCTATTGCTCTGTGCCACACACATCTGAGATGAGCATGACCTTCACTGCGGACTCGGCCAATGGTTACAGTCTCACACAGGCTGCTTCATCCACATTTTATAGGTTGGAAAGCCAAGGCTCAGAGACATGAAGTGGCTTCTTTAAGGCCACAGAGCAAGTCTCCTGCATGCCTCAGTGTCCCCTCCCCCACAGGGAGGGCAGAAGAACAAGAGGGGATGACAATTGGGGTGTAGGGGAAGGAAAAGGAGACTCTCCGGCCCCATGACATACACATATCCTGGAACCCTGACCTCTTGGGTCTCTGCTCAGATATTGTCTGTCTCTTATTCAGGTAACATTCACTGAGCACCTAACTTGGGCCAGGCCAGGAGGAGAACAGGACCAGTCCCAGGCCCTAGTAATTCGTAGTCTGATGGAGTGGTTTTCAAAGGGGTGATTTTGATCTGCAGGGAACACTTGGCAATATCTGGAGACATTTGTGGTTGTTGGGTAGAGCCCAGAGATGCTGCAAACATCCTACAGTGCACAGACAGCCCTGCAGTGAAGAATTATCCATCCCAAATGGTCAAAAGTGCTGAGGTTGAGATGCTTTGGTCTGATAGAAGTGTCAGAGACATGTAAAGACACCAACAGCCCAGTGCTCTGATGAAGGGACTCACGGGAGCTGTGAAGTCCAAAGGATGTACATAAGCCAGCTGGGAGTTGGGGTGTCAGGGAAGGATTGCCAGAGACAAGACCCCCCCACTAGAGGGGTTCGAAAGATGATCACATGGTGGGCATGTACACAGGACAGCAGGGCACATGGGACTGAGGACCAGCTGCTGATAGGCAGGTTCAGGGGATCTTAGAGTGTGTGTGTTGGGAGTATCAGGGCCAGGGCCAGTTACTGCGGCCTTGGAGGCTGTGTGAAGGAGGGAGGCTTCAGGGAGCAGCGTGAAGGCATACTGTGGTGTCAAGCAGGGGAGAGATGTGGGGAAACATTGGCTTTAGAAAGCTCCTTCCTCTAGATGATACAGAAACCCTAGAGGCACAGCTGGTGGGACGGCGGTTGGGTGCAGCCCTTCTGGACACAAATCTGTCACTATTCAGTCATACTAGGTTTATGTATGCCGTGATCTGAGCACACATCTTGGAGCTGGATTCTGGGCCTAAGGGCAGGAAAGGGGGTGGTCCTGGCACATAACCTTTTCCATCGCCAAGAAGGTTCACAAACATGGCCTCCTTGGAGTCTTAACAATAGCCACGTGGAGTTATGGAGAAGGCAGGCCGGCTTCACTGCCCACATTCCACAGAGAAAGACAGGGCTCGAAGGTGAGTGGGCCTTGTCCAAGGTCACACGAGAGAATTAGTAGACGTGTGGGTTCCAAAGCTCTCCCAACTCCCACATCTGAGCACTTTCCAACCAAAGACACTGCTGCTTTCATTGGCCAGAACCCACGTCTGGGCTGGCCTTGACAAAGGACAGCTACCCCATTCTGGGTCTAGGTGGCTTCAAAGCACAATAGAGGCTGACGGTCTCAGTAACTGGCCAACGACCCCAAGGGGAAAGACACAGGCATGGCCCTGGAAGGCTCACGTACATCATCCTTAGCCCTGCTGTCCCTCTCACCCTGGGATCAGATAATGACCAGGCCTGCCTTCTCCCCTGCTGGGCCTGCCATCTCTTCTCTGCAGCCTTGTCAATCTCTTAATCCAGCCTGCCCCCATCAATCCTTCACTTGGCAACCCAGGCCTTCCTAAGACAAATTTGCCCTTAGGTCTATCACCTGATCACTATCCTCTGCTAGATAAAGGGTTACAAGATAAAGGCCTGACTGCCCTCTGGCCCCCATTCATCTTGCTGGTCTTTCCTGTTGACTCTTGTGGTACCCAGCATGCCAGGCTCTTGCACACCTCCATGCCCCTCTGCACGGAGATTCCCACTGCCTAAAATGCTCAACTCCCCTCCAGCCCCCACCCATCTGGGGAGACCTTCCTCGTCGCTGTAGAGAACATGGGTCTGTGAAGTCTCAGCTGAGCCCCCGAGGTAACACCCACCCTTCTGTACCTTTATTGTGCAGACTCGTGAAAGGTGGTTTAGATTGGTCTGCTGCCTGTCCGCCTTTCCTTCTAAAACAGGCAGTGGGCTCCCTGAGGCTATAGCACTCAACGCAGGGCCCCAGCAGCCATCTCCTGGGGAACCTATGGCTGCAGGAAGGTGCACCTGGCCTGGAGATCTTGTTTCCATCTCAGCTGGGGCCGGTAGGGAGTGCTTAACCTCAGAAATAGGCATGTCTGATCAGATAGCCCCTTTCCTTGAAATTCTTTAGAAGGCACCACTGCACCCTGGGGAAGACCCAAGTCCTCAGAATCACTACCCATCATCCCTCCCACCTCACCTACTCGTCACCCTCTTTCTCATTCTGCTCCAGCACCCCCACCATCCCCAGAGCCCCTCCCTGGGGCTGAGCACTGCCAGCCCCCTCCATAGAGAATGCTCTTCCCAGACAGGCTCTGGCCACCGTGGGACCCCTCCTCTGCTTGAATGCATGTACACTCAGCTTAACACCCCACACCCATAGAGACACCTGGGTGGCTCAGTGAGTTGGGCCTCCAGCTGCTTTTTAAAAAATGTTTAAAATGATTTTATTCATGAGAGACACAGAGAGGCAGGGTCCATGCAGGGAGCCCAACGTGGGACTCGATCCCAGGACCCCAGGATCACACCCGGGGCTGCAGGCGGACGCTCAACCGCTGAGCCACCGCCACCGGGGCTGCCCTGGGCCTCCGACCTTAGATTTCAGTTCAGGTCATGACCTCAGGGTCCTGAGATGAGCCCCCATCTGGCTCCCTGCTTAGGGTGGAGTCTGTCTCTCCCTCTGCCTTTGCCACTCCCCCTGCATACCGGCTCTCTCTCTCTCTTAAAATAAAAAAAGTCGGGATCCCTGGGTGGCGCAGTGGTTTAGCGCCGGTCTTTGGCCCAGGGCGCGATCCTGGAGACCCGGGATCGAGTCCCACGTCGGGCTCCCGGTGCATGGAGCCTGCTTCTCCCTCTGCCTGTGTCTCTGCCTCTCTCTCTCTATCTCTCTGTGACTGTCATAAATAAATTAAAAAAAAAATAAAAAAATAAAATAAAAAAAGTCCCGGATAGCTCCTGCTAGCCCCTGCCAACCTCTGACATCTTGCTTCCTGCGTCTCCCCACAGTCTCAGCAGCTCCTGGAGAGCAGGGGTTTGATCTGCTTGGCCCAGAACAGTCTACCCGGCGACCACCATAGCCCTGAACGCACCAGGAGCTTAGGAAACACGTGCTGACCGAGCACACGAGCGAACGACGTCATACGGGAACGTTTTGGGGGCGCTGAGTTCCTCCTCCCCCCACCCCAACGCACTCGGGGGCGGGGCTGCGGCCGGCGCAGGCGAAGGGCGGAGCCGGCTGGCCGGGCCCCGCGGGGCGGAACCCGAGGCGCGCGGGCTGGCGCGGCCCGGAGGACTGACGGAAGGGCGCCCGCGCTGCCCGCCGGAAGTGGCCGGGAGCGCGGCGGGAGCGCCGAGCAGCCGCCATGGAGCGGCCGGAGCCGGGCGCCGCCGGCGAAGATGCCCTGGACTCGTTCCTGGAAAAGTTCCAGAGCCAGCCGTACCGTGGCGGCTTCCACGAGGACCAGTGGGAGGAGGTGGGCGGCCCGGGGACGCACGCGAGTGTCGGGGCGTCGTCCGGACCCCGGGGCTGGCGAGCAGGCGCCTCCGGACCGCCGGCCGCCCGCACCCCGAGCCCGCACCCCCGAGCCCCTGCGCCCCAGGCCCCTGCGCCCCAGGCCCCTGCACCCCAGGCCCCCCGCACCCCCGAGCCCCTGCACCCCAGGCCCCCCGCACCCCGGAGCCCCTGCACCCCAGGCCCCCCGCACCCCCGAGCCCCTGCACCCCAGGTCCCCTGCACCTCCGGCTCTGCGCACCCCAGGTCCCCCGCATCCCCGAGCCCCTGCACCCCTAGGCCCCCCCGTACCCCCGAGCCCCTGCACCACGGACCCCCCCGCACCCCTAGGCCTCCCGCACCCCCGAGCACGTGCACCCCTAGGCCTCCGGACCGCCGGCCGCCCGCACCCCGAGCCCGCACCCCCGAGCCCCTGCGCCCCAGGCCCCTGCGCCCCAGGCCCCTGCACCCCAGGCCCCCCGCACCCCCGAGCCCCTGCACCCCAGGCCCCCCGCACCCCGGAGCCCCTGCACCCCAGGCCCCCCGCACCCCCGAGCCCCTGCACCCCAGGTCCCCTGCACCTCCGGCTCTGCGCACCCCAGGTCCCCCGCATCCCCGAGCCCCTGCACCCCTAGGCCCCCCCGTACCCCCGAGCCCCTGCACCACGGACCCCCCCGCACCCCTAGGCCTCCCGCACCCCCGAGCACGTGCACCCCTAGGCCTCCGGACCGCCGGCCGCCCGCACCCCGAGCCCGCACCCCCGAGCCCCTGCGCCCCAGGCCCCTGCGCCCCAGGCCCCTGCACCCCAGGCCCCCCGCACCCCCGAGCCCCTGCACCCCAGGCCCCCCGCACCCCGGAGCCCCTGCACCCCAGGCCCCCCGCACCCCCGAGCCCCTGCACCCCAGGTCCCCTGCACCTCCGGCTCTGCGCACCCCAGGTCCCCCGCATCCCCGAGCCCCTGCACCCCTAGGCCCCCCCGTACCCCCGAGCCCCTGCACCACGGACCCCCCCGCACCCCTAGGCCTCCCGCACCCCCGAGCACGTGCACCCCTAGGCCTCCGGACCGCCGGCCGCCCGCACCCCGAGCCCGCACCCCCGAGCCCCTGCGCCCCAGGCCCCCCGCACCCCAAGCCCCTGCACCCCAGGCCCCCCGCACCCCGAGCCCCTGCACCCCAGGTCCCCCGCACCCCCGAGCCCCTGCACCCCAGGCCCCCCGGAGCCCCT